ATGCCACTAAGTTCTACACACTGACCCTTTAATGTCTTGACAATATTTGTGCAACAACTATCTAACTGTTATTTAAGTCTGGACCGAAGCGGTCGACATTGCTATCCAAATGGCTTAACAAAAACCAACCAGCATTCTTTAACTTGATGCTGCAACACAGTGACTCACTAAAACCCAAGACAATGATCAAACAACCGAAAGATTTTAAATATAATCATAAAGTTTACTCGAAAATCCAAACTCTGAAAACTAAATTAAGCAAAATGTCTTGGAAAATTGGAACAAAAGAGAAAAATGAAAAACTAGGTAGACTGGATGGCTTTCCTAAACGCAGTGTGGTTATGCAGTGATGTAATAAAGTGCTGATTGAACCTGCTTGTGCCATAGAGAGTTCTAGCCAGAACAGTGTCTTATTTTCAGGGGTAATCACAAAAGAAGAATAGCATGTTCCACCTCATTTCTTCTAACAGCCTTGTGGATTCATGTCTCCATTGATTTAATTACATATGAGAAACAAAAACTGCAAGCGTCAGGTTAGATTGGGGGGGTTTTAAATGAAAAGAGCCAAGCTTTAGACCTTTTTTGGCCTGTGCTAGTGGTCAAGTAATGGCCTAGATGAGAACATATTCACTGTACTGGCACAGTTTGTCCTCGGTGAGGGTCTACGGTAAATCCTGAGTGTGCAAACCTCGCTGTCACCTCGAAGTGAAAGCTGCTTCAGCACTAAGCAGATTAATCAGATCGGTTTAATGCTGCTGCAGATCATTGCTCATTTTTTTCCCCCCACCTCCTTTAGTTCAGGAAGGATGAGAAATAAATAATTTAAGTCATGTAAAAGTTTCACACGCCACAATCACACTTTTTCACGGCACGATGGCAAAAAACGGATACTAAGCTCAGGGTAGTTTAAGGGAGGAGTGTGAAGATTGTAGAGTCTGAAACAATGGGAGGATGGTCCTGTCACTGGACTTGGAGAGCAGAAGGTCAAGGGGTCAAGGTGCGACAGAGACATGACAATATGACACATTCAGATAAGAGTCGCCTATTAAAGTCAGGCTTCCCCTAAGGATGAACCAGAAGAGCTACACACACATACACACTGATGCCTGAACTTGGACTATCATTTATCCAACACTGAGATCATGTTTATTTTGGTGGTTACCAATCTGTTGCAGGAGGTTTTTGCGGTTGCCGGTGTCGGTGAGTGTAATATTTCTTATGTTTCCCCCCAAAATAAACAGGTAAAATTATCTTTGATTTACTGTACAACAATGACTTTGTGTCTGATCTGTTTATGGTGCTGATCTTCAAATACTTATGGACTTACCTAACTTATTGGCTGAACTCAGCCCGAAGCCAGTTTCTACTGAAGGTGTAAATCTTTTAAAATGATCACACATATACTTTCATTTTTTTGTAAAAAGAGTTTAGTAATTTTCTGCAACAGCTGGGCACTGCAGCTTTCAGCAAATGGTCCTCAAACCTGGGTAAATAGTGCCTTTCTTGGGGACTATTTTCATTAGCGGATTAACATACATTTGGTGCTCTGGTGAGCATTTACGGCAGCAGGTTGGTGTATGAGGGATTGACTCCAAATAAACTGCTCATTCTAATGAAGGAACATGTCACCCAGTGCAACTATGTTTCTAATTTATGTGTTTTTAATAGTATTTATGGGGGTTTTCCAGAGAAAAGTCTAAAATATCGCCAGTTTTATCCTTTAACTAAAACTATTTTTTATGAAGAACAATAAGGTTTGACACTGTTTACTGTGGGTCTTCATCTTCTTTTGTACAGATGAGAGGCTGGAGTCTGACTCAGGCCAGGCGTGGTTCCACATTCCCTTAATAGCCATATTAAGTTATTCAAGCCCCATCTGGAAGATTTAACACTGCCATTACCATACATCCGCATGAGTCAGCTATGTCCTCTGCCCCTTCTGTGCTGCTGAAGTTGGAACACAGTTGGCCAGTCGTACGTCTCCAAAACTGGTCGTTTATGCTGTCAGTAGCCCCAGGCCATGGATTGATCCCTCTGCTTTTATTGGAGCAGCAGGTAGTGACAAGATGGACTGTCCATTAGTGGATGGAGGGAGAAAATGATGTGTGTGGTGACGTCATTTATGGTCATGATATTAGTCCCATCTAACACAAGTATTTTTTTAAAGGAACATTCGTCGTTAACAGCAAACCTCCGGTTAACCTTCACACAGAGAGCACTTTTTGTTCAAGATACGGGAAAGGATAAACATAAACGTGGATATTTTATGTAGAGCAATCCAACTAAATGGAAAGCCTAGAGTTTGGTTACAGTGGTGGTTACTGCGTCAGTAAAGTGTTATGGTGCTAGTTGTCAGCTGTCAAGTTTCCTGGCTCTGGCCTGTCATTGAAGATGCTTTACTGCTGAGCTGATCAGCCTCCCACCGTTTCTTCATCCCCGCTGATTCTCAGTGATTAACATTTACTCTCACTCTTGCCCACTTTGCCCACTCTCATCATCCCTCATGTCTTCTTCTTTTCCTTTTGTTTTACGTCTACCTCTTAATTACACTGTTGAGAGGGCACGAAAAAAGGGGAGAGACTATTGATTGTTTCGCTGCGCTTTGTTTACTCTGCTCGTTCAGTTGTGTCTCCTGATTCTGCAAAGCTGGCTTTGGTGAGAAGAGTCACTGCTGACTGAACCCGCAGGATTAAGGGGTCTCTGTGGATGGCTTGTTGGCTTTAAGTTCAATTAGAATTGGCGCTGTGCTACCATTTATCTTGGTGGTCCAAAGGTTTGCTTCATGGTAACGCGTTTTCTCAAGTGGTCAGTATTATAAATGTACAGTACATGGGACAGGGTAAAAGATATAGTGCTTGTCTATGGACTGAGCAGAAACTGGCACCAAGGATTAAATAATGGTATTAACAGTGATGCTAAAGAGTCACTTATAGTTTTGGTTTCTGAGATATCTGACTTCAATGGAATAATTATGGATTATTCAGAGCAACAAGGACCCTGTTGGACACTGGGGTGTTTTGAATTTCTTTTTTAAATGTAATTTTTAATATTGTAAGCACCAGAAATAAAATTAATTTCACCTCCATTATATTGATGTGGAGGCAGAAATCTCAAAACCTGGAACTATACGTACACGACTAGGTTAGAAAATATGGTTTCTTTTCATAACTGGGCAAACTGACCCTTTAACAGTGATGGAGGAAATTTTATATTATAAGTATATATTTGAACATAGCACTACCACAGTATAAAAAACTCCTGTGGAAGAAAAAATTCCACTTTAGTAAAAGTACAAGCAACAAAATATGCTTACAATACAAAAGTAAAAGTAGCTGCAGTGTATAAAGTATACATATGTACATTAGTTACTATTGATGCATTAGTAGCATTCATTTGTAAGCAGCAAATTTTAACAACTCCATAAACTGGTGGGTAATTTAATCTATATCAGGGCATTGTATTTTATAAACCTATCACATGTTTTGTATGTACAGTCATATAACTAGTGAATAGAGCTTTGAAATAAGGTTAGCAAAATAAAAAATGTACAATATTTAGCCCTGTAATTAGTGGATTAGAAATATAAATATCTTAAAATGTACTTACAGTACTTACACAAACTCACTAACACACGTGCATCATCTTCTTTCCAAGCATGTGAAACTAAGTCTTCATCTTTGTCCTCCCACCCACATGCCACAGCCCTAGACCCCTGCTCTGCCTACATCAGCCTGAACGAACCCTGGAGAAACACAGACTACCACGTCAATCAGTCATCCGGCGTTCCCCAGTGTGACAGCCATGTGTCTGGAGAATGGTACCGCTTCACTGGCATGGCCGGGGACGCCATGCCCACCTTCTGCATCTCTGAGAATCACTGTGGCACCCATGCTCCCATCTGGCTGAACGGCAGCCACCCTCAGCCTCATGAAGGCATCGTCACCCAGCCTGTTTGTGCCAGCTTTGGTGACAACTGCTGCCAGTGGAACGCCAGTGTAGATGTGAAGGCCTGTAATGGAGGATACTTTGTCTATCGCCTCCCCAGACCCTCAGTCTGCTTCCATGTTTACTGTGGCCGTGAGTGAGCTTGTCTGATACGTAAAAAGTAAATTTACTTACAGTTTGCATTTCATTTTCACATCTGTTGGTGTGTTCGTATGTTTTTTTGTGTGTGTGTGTCACACAGATTTCTATGATATCTGTGATGAGATGGACTGCACAGGTCCCAGATGTCCCGAATCTGACTGTCGCTGTGCACTTGGAACTGTCCTGGGACCAGACAGACAAACATGCCTGGGTGAGACAGAGAGAGCGGGAGGAGAGGGGACAGACAAGTTGTGCAACAGATAATGATTAACAAGAGAAAATGGAAGACAGGCTAGAAATGGCTTCTGAAATACAATAACACTGAGAATACAATCAGACTGTATTTGTTCAGTGTGTTTGTTTTGACATTCATATATTTGTGGTTAAGCTGTTTTTATGCAAATATCCATGTTGACTTGACTTAATGGGATATTCAGAATATGTTAAAGACAACAAAAGCAAGCCTTTCATCATTGAAATTAAACTTTTTATCTTAGGTTTATCTTACTTACTTTACATTTATTCATCCTGGGAATCGTATACTTTCATTTTCTTGAGTGTGACAGTTCAATGTTGACCTCAAACAGTAGTTTGACAAAAAATAATTTTAGATTACATTCAACTTTATTGACATTGCACAAGTACCAAAACATTGAGATGCAGCTCTTGCATCTGTGCCTCTCCAGCCATTTATTCATTACTTTTAGCTAATTGTTTCAACGTAATCCTAATCACAGCATTGCTCAGGTGTTACAGACTCAATATGTGGATTTTTTTAAATAAAAATTTGCTACTACACAATCTTTCCACATACCCTGTGGTAACTGCATAAGTACCATCTAAGATTCAAGGAGGTAAATAAATAAATATCACATACCAATGGACTATAACTAGTTTAACATATTCTAAATGATCAGATAGATCATAAAGCAGGAGGGATGAGTACACAACCTGATGAAGGAAGTTTCTAGTGACAGAAAGACTGGAGGATTGTCTTTTGTATTTGCTGACTCTACTGTAGGTGTGTGTGTGTGTGTGGTACACTGGATGGTACACCTAATGATGGGTGACAGCCAACCTAGCCAGCCTGAGAACTGCCACTATCTCATTATTCACCCATCAACCAAATCTGGCTTCTTCATTTCTCCATCCTCGGTCACTCTCTTTCCTCACACTCTTAATCTCTTACATCGGTCCCTCCTTTTATTTCATCCCTCATTATTTCCTTACCAGTCCTCTCAGTATTATAAACTCAGTTTTAAAGTCTTTTGAAGTCGATTTATCATCCTCTTCCCTGGAACACTAAGTGAATTGCCTTGAGGTGATAAACTCCACCCATCTGGTACTCAGTCGATTAAAAGAAGACTCATCTGATAATAATATCTGACCCAGGTGTGTGTGGTGTGTGTGTCCTATGTTCAGATGTGAATGAATGTGAGAAGAACAATGGCGGCTGTGCAGAGAAGTGTGTGAACACCAAAGGCTCCAGGCACTGTGAGTGTGGGCCGGGCCGTGTGCTGGACGAAGATGGGCACAACTGTAAAGGTACATCCATGTTCTGATGTTCATATGACAACCAGTCACTGTTGTGCAGAGATAATTAAACCCCAGAACCACATCTTTCCTTTTTTCTCTGTATTGCCCCATGCAGAGATGGCAGGCTGTCATGTTAACAATGGAGGATGCAGCCATGGCTGCTCCTCGCTGCTGGACTCCTATCAGTGCAACTGTCCCCGAGGGCTGGAGCTGGGAGAGGATAAACGCACATGCCAGGGTGTGTGTGTGTGTGTGTGTGTGTGTGTGTGTGTGTGTGTGTGTGTGTGTGTGTGTGAAAGAGGTAGTTTTCTAAGTTCAATCAAATCAGACAGCAAGTCAAGCTGACAGAGAGATGCACACTTAACTGATATTTTTAACATGTCTGTGTGGGGTTATTTATTTGTCACATTAGCAGTGGATAACATTGAAAATGATCAGTCCTGGTGTGCCTTTTTTAATAGTATAGGACGGCAACTAATGATTATTTTTATGGCTTAATCTATTTTTCTAATTCCAGCATCTTATTTTATAATATGTGAGGAAATGGTGAACAATGACCATCAGTCAAAGGTAACGTCTTCAGATTACATGTTCTTTCTAACCCACAGTTTAAAAATAAAGATATTGTTGCAACCACTGGTTGTTTTCATTATAAATTAATTAATCTATTAAATTAAAATTACTTTCTCAATAATTGTAATGTAATGAGGTCTTCAAATGACGACTCAAAAATAACTGGTGTACTGTCACATAAAACAAACAAGCAGCAAATACTCACATAACTACTCACAGAAGCAAGAACCACTAAACTAATTTTACTTTATGAAATTAATTAATTATCAGAATAGTTGCCAGTTAATCAACTAATTGATCAAAAACTAATCTTCTCAGTTCTTTTCAAATAACAATCATGTAATCCAGAGAAAAGCAGCAAGCCATCACATCTCAAAAAGCTAGATCCGGAGAATGTTGGGATTTTTGCTTAAAAAAAAACTGAAATCATTAATTGATCAGGTAAATTGATTAATCATTTTAGTACTGATACTACCACTTATAGATTAATCTCACCCTAGGTCATACATAACTCAAATGATCATATTTTTCTGTCAACAAAACACATTAAAGAAAGACATCCACATCTTCCTTCACAGCCACAGTATCTTGCTTTTAATGTTCATATGTACTTAGCCAGCAAGCAGATTGTGTGGTATGTTTTCATCCAATCACATGACTGTGACATGTTTTATGCTGCTCTTTGTCATTGTATCAATGCACTGTTTCATGATTTGTGTAATTTCATGGGACCATAATATTATGTCATGTCTTTGTCTCTCTTCCCTGCAGTGCCAGTACAGTGTGATTCCAGCTCTATTGTTGTGTCAGTTCCTAAGGACCTTGTAGGAGGACTGGAGCTCTCACTGTCCAACTCGTCTTGCCGAGGTGTCTCCAACGGGACACACATCAACCTCAGCTTCAGCCTCAAGACCTGTGGTACAGTGGTGGAGGTCAGAGGCATTGGGTTGATGTTTATAGACTGAAAGTACTCAGGGTTTAGTCCCTACGGTCAGGGCTTGGAGAAATGTTTCATTATCATATAAAGAGCTGTGGCTTAAAATGGCTTGTGTGAAGTTGTCACCGACAGCTAAAGTACTATAAATTGAATGTTGACCCCCCAGGTGACAGATGACAAGATTGTAGGAACCAACCTGGTGACAGGCCTCCCTAGGAGCAGTCCAGACAGCAGCAGGGACTTGATAGTCCGCACCAGCAAGCTAGTGCTCCCAGTCACCTGCGAGTTCCCCAGGGAGTACCACGTGTCAGACGAATACCAGGCAAGTCTGCGCAGCTCAGCCCTCGAGCTGGCAGGCCACAGCGAGGGAGTCTTCCCCTTCTTCCTGGAGCTGTTCAAGGACGCAGAGTTCTCAGAGCCCTACCGCACCCCGCCCCAGCTCCGCCTGCACGACTCCCTGTTCTTCGGGGTAGAGCCGAAAGAGAGAGTGGAGGGCCTCTCCGCACTGGTGGAGAGCTGCTTCGCCACACCAGGGCCCAAAGCTGACCAGGCCCTCAAGTATTACCTCATCAAAGATGGGTGAATAATGTTAGGGTAATAATGTTTCATGCTGCATGATAGCACACTTATTGTAAAGGCCTTAGTTAGATATAATACAATAAAGACTAATAACTTTTACATACATGTGTCAGGTAAACAAAAGAAAGTGATGTGCTTGAGGATTACACCCACTGTGGCTGACCACAAAGAAGAAAGTGGTATTTATGGAAATTCTACATAATATGAATGAAAAGACAAAGATGTGATAGCAGTAATGAGTGGTATGACAATGACCACTTAGACCAAACCAAGATTCATCAAAACTCTCTTCTCGCTTAACATACCTCTGGTGGTATCTAGTCATCTAAATGGATTTGGTTTTATTTAAGATGTCTTCTGTTTTCACCCCTTTACAATGGTGCTAACTGGAATTTTATTGGTAGTGCTTAAAGCAGTGACAATTTCAAATTAAAAATCAGCAGCAATGTGTTTTTCCAGAATCACTTACTCTGAGCTTTTCACAGATAACACTGTCTTCAGTTTTCATAGACACTGTTTCTAAAGTACAAAGTCGTTTCAATAAAAACCTTTGATAGTGAGGTTGTTGGATTACAGACACATACATAATCTTTGAAAATCATTTCTGAAGAGATATGTGGCTGATACATTTTTTAAACTTAAATTTTCAATGTTATAAACTTCACAGATGAAATTCCGTCCATTATATTGGGGTGGAGGCAGACATCTGAGTGACAGATACTGCAAATAATCTGGGCAAATAAACACAAACCTGCATGATACTATATATGCATGTATAGATACTACTATAAGTAAGAAACTAAATTTGTTGTTCTTGCTCATACAAACACTGAAAACTGCAGATTACTATCTTTTTAATATCGTATCATTAATACCAGAATTGCATTTGGTCCTGCAACATGAATAGTCCTTATAATAAATGTCAACAGGATCAGACCCAGCTGCTGAGTTTCCACAAGGCCTTAGCATCTGCTGCTTGACAGTTACAGGACAGGAAATCTCCTCTCCTTCAATGAAATGTCAAATGAAAAATGCATTCCGCTTAATGTGGAAAGAAAACAAGAATGTTTTCAGTTGAAAAATCGAAAATACAGATCATCTGGGGAAGACCTACTTTTGGTTAACTATTTCTCCTCTGAACCCAAAGTGAGACTGTACTCTATGGACACCAACAGAGCAGTTTTATAATCTATTCTCACAATTTCCTATTAAATATACAACACTGTTTCAGGACCTTGGGGCAGCTAACCTTGATAAAGTGACTTGTTAGGAATATATATGGATCACTGAACACTGTGTTAAAATGTCAACTGCATGTCTGACTTTATCCCCCTTCATTGGTTTCTTATTTCAGGTGTATATCTGATGAAACTGTGACGCAGTACTCATCAAAGGATCAGCTCTCCAAGCACTACCAGGTCCCTGTCTTCAAGTTCATTGGCAAGGACAACCGAGTGAGTAAAAGAGGCATGCTGAGAGCCAGCTGGCAAGTGTGTGCGGCCTTATGTCTGTTTAGCACTAAACTGTAAGGACTGCATTCATAGAATTAGCAGTGTCCTTACACTGTTATGCTGTTCCTCTCTACCGCTTCTCAAAACAAGCTTGTCTCCTTTGTTTACAGCAAGTGTTCCTCCACTGCCAGGTCTTGGTATGTGGGGCGGGAGACTCACGCTGTGCTCAGCATTGTCGAGGACGCGTCCGCCGAGAGATTCGGACCCGTGAAGCTCAAGGGCAGCACACACTGAGTGGAGGCCCCATCTTCATCCTGCCTGAGCCATGATGCTAACATAAAGCCACTTACACAAACCCCACAACAGTCAGGATTTGCAGAGTGACATTTAGATTAATAAAGATGAACTGACAAATTTCAGTTTATTTGGTATTTAAAACACCAAGCAGATATACACAGAGCAGTCCGTTGTGCTGTACACATATACATGCAGATGTACAGTATATACACTCTTCTTTATTCCTATGTAAATTACAGTGTCAGTCACAGTGCTGTAGATCCCTTAAATTCTGGTTAATACATCCAAGTTTGTGTGCCACTTTGCCCGGCAGCGCAATTTACTGACATTAAAGTGAATGACATTTCTATTAGAAATCATTTGGACGGGCCACAGTTCATTTGTAACAAGTACAGCATGAAGAATGCTTTTCTAGGTCACACTTTGAGGCATTTGTCAGGCTTGATCACAGCTTAAGGATTTAGTGGATTTACAAAAAGTTGTTGATATATTTCACACCAACGCTGACTTGAAATATACACATGGACCATCCACAGATGTATTCTGACTCATTTGCTCAGAATAATCGATGGCTGAGGAGCACTTCACACATTCCAGTGCAGTGGAAAAGAGATATCAGTGTGTCGTGCCTGGAAAATATGCATATGCTTCGTCGCTCTGACAATTAATCTAGAATTAATCGTGTCAGCTAAACTGCAATTAGTCATGCATTTGTTCATAAAAAATAACAAATAACTGGCAAATAACTTACATCAAATATTAACGTAGTAGCTGTAATAGGCATTACATTTACATGACACTGACTTAAGGTTTGAGCAGATAAGATAATTACGATGGCGCACATGGTTTGTTGTGTTCTGCTATTTAATCAAGACTGCTTGTGTCTTTCTATCTAGAGGAAATTAATCCAACTACAATATCCTTCCCATTAGCCACTTTGTTTGGAGTGATGAAGTAATTTATGGTAATGGAGTCATAGAGGCCTAAAAATGGCCTAAAATGAAATGGAGTATGGAGTATAACATGCATAAGCAATAAATTATTCTGAAAGTCATATTCAGACACCTAATATTTGTTAGTCCTGCCTATGAATAAAACCTGAGAAACTGCTAATTTGCCTTCCCCATTTTTGTGTTGTGTTTTTTTTTAACTCCCAGGCTCTGAATCTTCAGAGGGCTCTTTTAAAGTATCCCCTCTTTGACAAAAAAAAAAAGCCTACAGATATACGATATAAACTGTAGAAATACCTATGACTCTGTTATTTGTCTGTGAAAGCATGCAGAGTCCACAGTGTTCTGTGTCACAGTTCATCCCTCTCCTCTCCCTCGCAGATGCACGCTGCCCTCTGGCTGTTCATGTAAGGTCTACAACCTAGAGTCCACACTGTGTTGAAGAGAGTGTCTGCCATCGATTCGCAGGCTGAGAAGGAAAAAAATAGAAATAGAGAGAGGAGAGAGGCAGTGAAATAAGTATGTGATGTGTCATATTATACCATCTCATATATATTCCCATAGTACACAGCCAGGAAAACAGGAATTTATATATATATGTAAATATCTCACCTTGTACCTTCGACCCAAAGCCCAGACTCTTATTAAGGTCTGTGCAGATGCCATGCAGACATGAGCGAAAGTTGGAGTCACAGTCATACTTGCTTGTCCCACAAGTGTCATAGCATATGTCAAGCTGGTTACAGCAGTTTGTCATAGCAGGGACCCCCAAGTCAAGCTGTTAAAAGAAAGACAGGACAGTTTACTCAAGCAGAACGTAGCATTTACAGCCGGTATGGTTGAGGTTAGTACTGTAGGGGCTTAATGATGTAGGTCTGGGCTGTGGGTGGCCACCTACAGCTGAATTCACCTGGAATCCCACCAGAGAGGAGGTGCAGCCGTCGGGCTCTGAAGGCTGGTAGCCGGGGCGAGGTTGAGGAAGGTCTCCTAAAAAAAAAAAAAAAAAAAAAAAACCCAAGAGAATTTTCATTTAATTGCTGAACTAAAGGGAAGGCACGTGTACAAACTAACGTCATCATATGTTCCTAGTCAAGGATCCACAGTATATCTCTCTGTTCTTGGGTGTGTGTCCTATCTTCACAGATAAGATGTAACTTCTGTTTCAGAACATCTGTATTGATTGCGTGACTGTAGGAACATTTACCTCCCAGACTGATAACCATAATGTACTCATTATCAGCAGCCTGAGTGCCAAGTGCCCTATCAAGACGAAAGTAGCTAATTTAACTGACAGTAGAGGGATTGATTTGAGACTTAAAGTGTACTTAGACAAATACAAAACAAAACAAATACATACAGAAGGAATGTTGGATGTGGACAACGTAATAATAATGTGAAAACTTCTTGTGGACCAGGTGCACTGACAAAAATGATAATAAAAATAACTTTTGACTATATAGCTATCTCTGAACACCATCAGGACACTAAAAGACTTCTCAGTTCTCAGTAACATAACAGTATGTTAATTCAAGAGACTCTCTCTTACCGTATCTGCAGCGGTACTGACACACACCATCTTGTCCCCCCACCAGCTCCACCAGGGAGTCAAAGTAGCCGTGCACAGTCTGGAAACTATTTCTAATTGAGTTGAGGCTCCAACTGCTATCTTCTTGTGCCAAGGGTTTGCTCAAGGGCTGGTTTGTCTGGACTGGTCTAATGTCATTCACCTTCTCCTCCTCCTCAGAGGAAGGTTGCCTGTGGGTGACAGCTTCACCAGTAGGAGCTTCCATAGCAGGGGCGTCTACAGCAGGCCCGTCACTGTTTGTTCCTGGCTCTTTGGCTGTTGCACCATCTGCTACAGGGACATCCACTTCAGGTGTGTCAGCTGGGTTATCCGCTGAAAGTATTTTAGATAGATTGTCACCAAAAAGGGAATTAGCTTCAGGTGAATCACCTGCTTGAGCATCTGCAGGAGCTACACCTTCTTCAGCAGCTTCTTCTACAGAGGCAGCTGCTACGGCATCCTCTGTAACAGTGGGGGCCTCCTCCTCTTCCTTCGCTTGGTAGTGGCCTAAGGTGGCACACATGCCGGTGGATACGCAGAGGAGGAGCAGGACCACAGTCCGAAGCAGCATGGTGTTGAGCTGGTGACAATCCAAGCAGAGGAAGTTCTCCACAAAGCAAGGTGTTGTTAACAGGGTGGGAAGAGCGTAGAGAGTGAGGGACAAAAACAGACTCTGCTCGTACTGCCTCTTCCAACCACAGAGCGGACTTTGACCTGTGACCAGGTTCTAGCAGACAGCAAGGCAGTCTCTCGTGTTGGGGGCAAAGGTCACCCCTATATCAATCCAAAGAAAGCTTCTATAATGGCTCTAATCATCTCATTCTCTCCGATTCTTGAACATATCAAATGAGTTAATTTCATCACAATTTTATTCACAAAGCTATAATTGGATTTTTATGACTAAAAAGTCACATGGAACTTGAGCCTACAGGGAAATCACTCTATATTCACTTTAACACTCAACACATCTAATGCTAGCATTTCAAGCCTGTGACCTTTATCAAGGCATCACAAATTTCAAATGATCTTCTCTGTGTTTTTGTTAAAGGTCACAGACTGATACCTCAGCACTGAATAAGTACAGAGACAAAGGGAACATTATCTGATTTAATTTGATATGTCTCTGCTGCCATCTTGTGTTTGAAGAGTAATATGCTCCCAATGCTGTGGAAATTGTTTTTTTTTAGTGTCCCTGTCCAACAACAGAGGTCTGTGCTACTGACATGACCTGTGAATTATGTTATGTGGTTGCAGGTTTTGTCTTCCTATGTCTTATTCAGTGTGTATAAATGAATACTTATAAATGGGGCTTGTCTGTGGTAATATGTTCATGCACAGGTCTTTTCATCTGCTTTGAAATAAGTCCTCTTTTCAATTCATTAACATTTGACTAACTCCAGGTTGTACATACATCACAGCTTATCTGATTTCAACGTTACGGTGTAAGTTGTTCACATTGACAAATACTAATTGGACTGCTCAGGGTCAATAAAACAACATATGTGAAGTGTCAGATTCACTGCTGTTCTTTAACTGCAGGAAGACTGGAAACTGTGAAACCTGACATCTTCTATTATGAAACACCACATGTGCATGTGATCACTGCACACAAAGCACTTTCATTATTCAAGGCCTGAATGTTGATGGTTATGCAGCAAAAGTAAATGTGTGTTGCTAATAGCAGTAGAACAAACTACTTAAATACGATTACGCTACTTCTTCTTCACTACCTCTCAGATGCAAATATTGTACTTATTATTACACTATATTAATTTGACATTTAATATGTAAATTAAGATTTAACTTACAAAATGCATGATCATATTTTAAAATATTAAGCATTAATTATAGATTAAACTATCCAACAGTACATAAAGCAGCTAATATTAGTTCCACCTCAATTGACTACATCAAAATACTTCTGAAATGTTGCAATCTTAAATACATTTTACTGCTAAAAGTATTGTACCAAAATTTAAAAGCACTTGTAATGGAGTATTTTCACATTGTGTTATTGCTTACATTCTTATATATCTGAAGTTTTAAGCTGTGATCTACAGTGTTATTTCAGGTTAAGAGACTAAACCGAAGAGCTACAACTAGGACAAGGTAATCATAATTAATGTTGGTTGTCAAAGACGTGACTCTATTAAATACTTATTCCTTCATTTTATTGCACGTTGCATTTTATTTAACATATACTGTCTGACTTAATATCTCACAAGATGATCTTCTGGTTAACTCGCTGAAGAAGCTATTCGCTCTCTGTTTGTAGATCACATTGTACTTCTTCCCACAACATCCTAGAGGTAAAAACACAGGAAAGCAGAAGTAAGTAAGAAACAAGTCACAAGTCAACAAGACGGTCAAGTGTCACATATACAGTATGTGCAATATAACATGTACCGTCTCAGGGTCTTTTTGGCCTTCTCTCTGGTCAGCACCATGTTGATGTTATTTTCTAGATCCTTTAAGGGAAAATTACAGAGTAACAACACAATTATCGCGTAACAGGACATGCATTTAAAATCTGTAATATGATGATATGGTAGGAAAGAGGTCAAACTCCCTTGCCTTGTTTGTGGTCTTCAGACAGTCATTTGTGGCTATCAGTCTCATTATCTCTGTCTGGAAGCAAACAGAAAAAAAGCTAAATAAAAACTGCAGTCATGTGCATTTTCAGCAATCACCAAAGACACTTCCTGCTTCAGTTTTATTTCTGAAAGAGAGCAAAGGCAAAATTGATGCTCAATGTGATGTAAAGGGGCAAAAACTGTGACCATAAGCATGCAGTTCATCTGGCAGCACCTTTATGTCTTTGATGCGCCTTTCTGTGCTCGTGGTTGTAGCAGCGGACACAAGCTTCTCCTTAATCTCTTCCTCCAGCTGTCGGATCTCCCTCCACATGTTCAACACCTGAAGCCTCTTGGACTGGAGACAGCCGGTGCAGCCGATGGCAGACCCACCGTCCTGCAGCCCCGACAGAGATGTACCTGTCCAAACACAGAAGAGCCAAGCATGAATGCGCTGTAGTGACGAGTGATGTATCTGTACTTGTACACACACTCTCCTGCGGGCATTATAAGGTCACAGCTGACTCACTGAAACTACAAAACTCTCTTTATGTGTGTTGTCATGACAAAGTGATTATTTGTTCAGTCTGTCCACACCAGAGATTTAAAAGTTAGCATGTGCTGTTGCCCCTGCAGGGTAACATACAGCAAATGCTTAGATGTGGCTCACCAATGATTAGATATACCAATGTAGTCTTGAGACTTACTCTTCATGTCACTGTCCTCTGGGCCTACGATAGCTTGAACATTCTGTAATTGATTTCGGACTCTGAGGTTAAAAAGAGAACAAACTTGCTTAAACTAATTACAATGTACAGTATAAAAACATATATTCTGTTTTTTTTGTTGAACAGATCCTTGCAGTACAGTTTATTCTCCTCCAGAGCTCTTCTGGCCTCCTGCTCCAACCTGCAGACCTCTTGTTCAGCATCCTCCAACTCCATTTCCCTTACTTTGCTGCTGCCAAGATCTCTGAGCGAAGTATTTGGCTGTAACATAACAACAAAAACGTGTTACTTGTTGATAATGTGCAAGTCTCTAAGCTCCATAAACATATTCTGCTATGTCAGAAATACTGTACATAATAATAATAATAATACATTTTATTTGTATAGCACTTTTTTTAGTTAGTGCTTCACAACGGCTTAATGAAAGCAGAATCCAATAAAAAGACAGTAAAAATAAATAAGATATTAAAAATAATTTAAAACATAGCATAGATTAGACTTACACAGAAAGGAATGAATGAAGTAGTAAATGTAAGAGGTGCGTTTATAGCAGTGATTTAAAAGAGACAAAGGTGAGGTTATCCTGATCTCCTACATGAGGTTAGCCTCTTTCCATTGAAAAAGTATCTCATTGCCATAGTTCAGTTCATAATGGACACATAGCCTAAAACTACCATTAAAATGAATGACAGAACCTGTGACAAAAATTGCCTTTGGCCCTTTAAACTGTGACTGAGCTATAATTGCAGTTTTGTTACATTACAATGACTTTGTATTAAAAAAATCCACTGAAAATAAGTGCTAATATTGTCTCATTCTTACAATATGAAAAGCAACTTCCACAAATGTTGAAAGTGCCTGAGATTCATAATCCATCCCAGTAAACATGAAGCCATTATGTTAGTTTGCTGTCGATCAAGTGACACCCACTCAGAAGGGTGTCAATGCTGTTGACAGGAAATAAGGCCAGAAAATCACATCCATGTCTCATCATGAATACATGATAGGTGATGTGCTTTACCATGTCATGTAGGGATGACTGGGAAGCCATCATGTGGTTGACATACAAATCGTAATCGGTCTAGAAGAAAAAAAAAAAAACATTATGTCACTCCATGCAATGACCAAATGTGTTGTTTTTTCTTCTAATGTAGGAAATAAATCTTCGCTGAAATTGTGCACATAATCATTTATTTGAATGTACTGCTCATGTGCTTGTTTGAGCTTCAACTGTTGACATTTATCATGAACATAACTGCCAAATCTTGTGTATAAAATATCAATTTTCTCAGTTACAGTGATTTTTTTTTAGCCACTGTTGAATTATATGCACTCAGTGTGTTTGTGTCCTCATAAAAGGTAATGACAAGTACTCATTCCTGCTGCTTTATGCTGTCAAACAAGATCTCCGCTGCATGATGTCAACCCCACTGTCTACTCATTACAATACATGAATGCCAAGCAAAGATTGGTTTAATTTAATCTAAATTCTGTTCGGCACTGATAGAGCAATGCAAAGCAATTCTACTGACTATTGTGTGCACAAAAAAATTTCTTATGAATGAGCGCTAATCCAACCGTTGCCCTATAATGACCTGCTCCCTGGCGCATCATGACCAGGTTCCAGTGCTTGCTCTACTTCCGCTCGCTTACACCAGGGACTCACTCTCTCTTGGCTCTAATACGTCTGACGGCACATGCTAAAAATGTGCTAGTGGGTACGGAGGAAATGGAAAAACCTTAATTTCCCTCAGGATGCGTCCAAATACTGGCGAGCCTTCACATACATCATCAAAGACGTCACTGAACACCACAAGGCGGTCTCTGGTGGGCCAGCTTTGCACTGACAACTTCTTCAGCTCCTGAGTATGACAGGAACACACACACACACACACATACGACGTCAGCAAGTTAAGATGTGCATGAAGAGTCTGTGCGTGTCTTTATTTATGCATCTTCTGCAAGAGTGTCGAGAGGGCGTTTCAGAAGTGCCTTCTCATGAAAAATTGACATATTAAAAAAGTCTGAAAGTAAAAAAAAAAGTGCTATTACAAAACCAGTTTCATGATGTCATGGTTTGTGTGACTATTCTCACCTTTTGTAGTTTCCTCTCATGCATTTCAGCAACATTTATTCCACCCCAGAGGTCCTGCTGGGCTACGACTTGCCTGCCAAACCGTTGTTTGGTCTTTATCTGGCCTTCATTATTCAGGCCTTCCTGGTCAGAGCAGCTCGAGCTAAATTGCTGTTTCCCCTTTGGATCAGATGGAGAGCTAGACTTTTTCTGGGAAAAGGCTTTCGCTTGGACAGGCAAAGAGTTTGAGGAACAATTAATTATCTTAGGTAGACATATATCTTCTCTCCTGTCTGCATGTGATGAGCAATCAGTAGCCTGATCTTGTCTTGACCTCAAGCCTTCAGACTCTAATAAAGCCGTGCCAGTAGAGAACTCAGAGGGAGACTCTTTCATTTCTTTCCTCTTTACATAGGTCAGTGCCTTTGTCTGTGTCTGCTGGAGTGTCAGAGGCTTTGGGGTTTCTTCTTGGCTATGAGACGCCCTCCAGAAAGGCTGCTTTTTCTCTCTGTGAGGCTGACTCTGGTTCAGGCTGCGGGGCCCCAGATGACCCGAGGAGTAGGTCAGGATGTCAGCCTTCTGACCAGCTTCAGCAGCCAGCAGCAGTCTGTGGATGTCCCTCCCAAAGCACCCGGGCTTTGGCTTAGAGCCGCTGGACATGACTATGAAGACACCATACAAACACAGTAAAGAATGTTAAAGGACACATATTTCCTGTAGGCTATTGTAATGCTGTATATAAACAGCATTCATTTAGCCTATACAACGCGTTTATCCAAAGCACTTCAATGCCTATCTGTACAGTTTCTTTGACTAAGTTAAAGTAATATAAAACTATTAATGCAGAGAGTGCACAAACTAATCACATTACCGCCACAGCTAACTTAACTAACTCAGGTTCCAGACAACAATTCTTGCTATTAATAACCTCACCTGTTAACCGAGTAATTGCAGTTTTGTGCGGAATCAGGACAAAAAAAAAAAAAAAAACTTTCTTCGAGGCCTCACAACAGTCAGCTCTTTGCTCGGTTGCCAAGGAGACCGAAGCGCGCAATGTTGCGTTCAGTGTCTGGGGAAATATCGTACCCATGAGCTTTGACGTGTTAGATCTAGTTTGTGCGTGATTAGGCAAATGGGTGTTTTTAATCTTTTTTTTTTTTGACAAATTGTGCGCGGTAGGTTTGTATGGAAACAAGCATTAAAATAATAAGCACATACATTATTAGGAATTGAGGTGAAGTCACCACAAAACAGTTCAATTCAATTCATAAAATGATTTACATGGAAATAATTTTTTGTCTTATATCACAAACAAAGTTTTCATGTTTTCCTGCATCTCTTTTTGTTGTTGTTTGCTTGTTTTGCAAACTGCCAAACATAAAACAAAGAAATAAACAAAAGACAAATTGTAACTACTAACCATCAGGGCAGAGAAGATGTGTGTGGAATGGAGTCATAGCAAAGCAGGGCTGGATTAGAGAAGGCTATTGAAGTATTTTGCTCCCCAATCGATATACCTTCAAGGTGAGGATTATGCATTTATGGATGTGTTTCGACAAAAAAAATTGAGCTGATATTAACAACTACTGAGAGAAACACCACCTTAATCATCTATGTCATTATTAGGGCCATTTTTATATATTTATTTTATTTCTCTGGGATTGAAGAACAACCAGTCAGCAGAGTAAGTCAGCAGACTCATCATTGTTGATGCCAGAAATAATACTACATGACCTGGTTTAAAAGTGGTTTCTGCACTGTCTTTAAATAACAGATTTGTGCTCTGTAAATTATTTAGTGTGGAAAATAATGGACTCCAACAATTTCACCCTATTTCCTAAGATTTTCTTATTTTGTTTACACTCAATTGTTTCCTGTGGTCTGCCACAGATCCTTTAATTACCAGACAAATTGTGTAAACTGGTTATTGTGGAAATCTGGTTACTGCAAAACTCCTGTAAATGCTTTAATCAAACTATTATCTTAATCTGGTTATTCACAATAATTGGGTTATTGCAAGTGCAAGTAAACACACAGCAGTGGGTGTAGCCCACAAAGCAAGAGAGAGAGAGAGAGAGAGAGAGAGAGAGAGAGAGAGAGAGAGAGAGAGAGAGAGAGAGAGAGCAGGAGAAGGAGAGTGAAACTCGGCCTCAGGGCTTAAACGGCCAGAATAGGAAAGCACCCAGATGGCAAAGCTGAGCATGAGGGAAGAGACAGTGTAACATGTTATGCTTCATTGAAATAAGTAGGGCCATACAATGGAGTTTGTATTCCTTTGCATCCTTGTGTCCTCCATTACGGGTTGATGTTAAATCAAATAATGCAGTGGAGGATGGAAGAAGCTCCCAGAACTTTACTTGCCAGAAGTTTGAGGATGCAACTGCAGACGACAGTGTGTAGGAAATACAAAGGTTCATTTCCAGGGTCACTGGTTATGATTGTAGAGCCAAAAGAGATTGATAATCCATAGATAACTTAATGTTCTACTGGTAATTTAAGAATTAGTTACAGATTTCTTGGATGGTTTTGCATTATTGTAGTTTTAAAATGGGGTGTGAGATGTTACTCCATATGTAAAGTAGATTACAGTCCTCTCAGGAGTGACACATTGTCACCCAACACTGTCCCTGCAGCTCTGTCAAAAGAATGGTATGCAACAAAATAAAAAGATCATTCAAACATGAAATAAAGATCTGGCACAGAGACGTATTTTTCAGGTATTTAATAAAAGTCATTTGGGCTACTGCTCTTACATTTACAGTTGAGACATTCCGCAATTATTCTGGGTAACAGTAACATGTCTAGACCGTTTTGTTTATCTTAATGTTTACTTTGTACAAAACAAAAAGGCCAACATTATTTTTCTTTGTATAAAAAATATAAGTTAATTTAAATTTAACTCTAATTAAGAAAATAACAATAGTAATAATAGCAATAATAATAATCATCAATAATAATAATAATGATAAAGATTATAAGCTAAACATAGTGCAGACAATGGGATATAACTGGTGCTGAAAAGTAGAAGGGACAGTGCAGTGTTATGGACTTAACCATGTTCTCAGGTGGGGTTGGAGGGCGGAAAGAGACAGTTAAAAGCTTCTCTCTCTCGCACAAATGCACACACACACACACACACACACACACACACACACACGCACACACACACACAGTGTACACACCCAGTCAGAAAGTGCATGACTGCCATTCACTTTAGCACCATCAGAGCATACATCTCAGTCTGTACAAACTAATTCCTAGATTGTACACAGTATACACCTATTACCGTATATGCAAATGTATATATAAATTCAGTTTAGGTGCATGCTAGTTGTTGCTCTTGGTTGAAGCTTACTGGAAGCAATTCTGAAAAGTAAGACAGAGCACATCATGGAAAACTGCCACCACCAAAGATCTGCAATCAACAAAACATTCATCAAAATGTACATTCACACCATTAGGGGCCACAGTACCAGTCGTAAAAACAAATTATTTGAGCGGTAATTTCAGTCTTGGAGGGACAACGTCCACTGGAATGACAGTTTCAGACAAAACTAATTGTCTTTTGGAAGATCTCGGAAACTCATTTGGAAGAGTCCAAATGTACCCCCCTTTGCATGATGTTGGCGAGTCAGCGCAAAGGAGGAGGAGTTATTTCCTTCGACAGGTCGTGGATGTGAGGGGAACGTCTGTTACACACCTGCAAAGAGTCAACCAACATTCTTGAGGTTGCAATCCCAGAGATAGACATGTGACGCACTTTAGCTTAACACTTTTGACATTATGGGAAAATATGAAGCCGACCTCATGCTTCTGTTTAGCTGCTGTGTCTGGCATCAACAGCAAAATGGGTTCAGTGTCATAAAGGTTTCACACTACAGATTTTAACCTGCAAGGACACCTATCTATGTCAAGGAGAGAATGTATAGGCTACAACTTATTCCACCCTTCACCATATATTTAATTTAAACCTCAGTAATTCATCACGTCTCAACCACGTGGTATAAATTAGAGTGCTGTCTGGACATTACATATAATAGTTAAAATCAGAAGTTTGTTGTGTCATTGCAAACACCCAACTCTTTATACTCCGCTGGGACACTTAGCCAACTTGTGCACTATCCTCATTTTACTTGTGTTTTATTCATGCTTGTACAAATGATTACTGATTAATGAGGAGGAACCAGATTGTAGTGTAAAATAATTTATGATGCGATAGTGGCGTGAAAATTGTTATGAGAGTGGAAATTAAATTGTATGCAGTCTGGGTTACTATAACTGATGCAAAAACAGATGCTATCTGTGCATCTTTTCTTTTTTTTTCGTCTTCTGAACTCGGTCCTACAAATGTTACTATTACTGCTGGCCTGGGATCAGATCCTGTTAATCAAGAGGAAAGCTGATGTACTATGCAGCAGGTTCCTAAATGCCAGGGGGGGCTGGGGGCAGTGCTGTGGGGTCCACTTCAGGGAGAAACATTGTGACTCTCTTGTGACTGTGTTCACAAGTGTCGACATTATCTAACTCCTCTTGTCACAGTTCATCCATGTTTTGTAGAATATGCTGCAGGGGATTTCTGCCATCTCCACCTAGAATAGGCTGTTATGTCTTTATTCAAGTACTGCAAAGGATTTTTGCTCAAAAAGTAATAAAAAAAACATTCTGAAATCCACCTTCTCAGTAAGGTGGCATTACACCATACATCTGCTCTACACATTCCTTCTGTCTCTGGGAATACCTTGCTGAAGTAGTGCGCGTACGATAAACCTACCACAGAAGGCAAACAGTACCATTTCAAAAAATAAAATAAAAGCCTGAACCGACAACAAGATTTCACATATTCTAGCCTGTGAAAGGTTCAGAATAAGGCCTCTGCAAATACAAGACCATAAAAGAATCAGCTCAAATAATAATAATAATTAAAAAAAAACATAAAATAAAATAAAACAGCTCAAATAAAACAACCAAAAACGGCACAAGTCCATTCTACCAAATGAATTCCCAAGCTGAGTTGATGTTGGGTGATGGGTTGAAGTCCCTCCCCATCGGCTGTCTGTCAGTCTCTGGGATCGGTGAAACCGTCAGTGTTGACACCTCCGTCACCCAATGAGGTAACTGTGTGTTTTCAAAGTCAAGTTGCCTGTAGCGGATCCGTCTCCTGCTAGCACAGGATGTGGGTTCTCTCCCCCCTCCCCCCGACAGAGTACCAGGTCCGTGGCAGGATTCAGGTTGTATTCCTTTGTCCAGCAACCCCTTTGGTAGTCAGTTGTCCACCTTGACAGGGCCTGAATCACTAGGCCTGCTGGGCACAATGTCCTCCGCCTCTCCCCGCGATATCTTCTCCCACTGGCTCAGGTTCTCCCTGCGAACACACAGCACCTCCATCAGATTCAGACCCTGCATGCTGTGGGTTTACAAACAGGGCTATGCTACTAACAAGATGTCTTAGTGCCAAGAAGTGGCTTAGTATCTGAAGTAAGAGGATAATGTCAGCATGAATCAAAGACATTTTAAACTTAAATAATGTGTCCGACAGTTATTTCAAACAAATGAAATTAAGCTATTATTAGGTGTATATTTGTTTCTTATCTACTGCTGTGTTCAGTTTTCTTGTTTGAATGAAAATTAAATGTACTACTGGAGCTATTGATGGAGCTAGTTATTTAGCCCACAACATTATAACACTTTGCTGCCACAAGGGTGTGCATCTGATGTTAGAAATGTTATGGACAAAATATGGTTAGAGACAGACAGAACTTTAAAAAAAGATGCTGTTAAGACAGAAATATCAAGACACCAACATGATAATAATATCATTATGGTTCTGAAGAAATCCAAATTAAATGTGAACAAATTGCTGCATTAAACCAAATCAAACTATATTAAACAACTTAATATAAATAATTTACACTGGCCATTAATTAAAGACCAAATCTGTAACCACATGTCACCACAGGCAGTGTAATTCATTAGTCATCTGTGGTCAGTTCTTGTTGTCATGAAGGTAACCTCTCCCCCTCTGTGCTATAATTGAGGCTGACATACGAGTGCAGAGAGTGCTGCCCTTTGCTGCCATTCCATTCAATTAGCCAGCCTGATGCAGTTTACACGTCTGTGGCGGATCCCACAACAAGCAGCCGGCCTGCTGCCCACCGAGAGCCCGGTGCTGACGTATAGCCGGGGCTTAAATATTACACTGCTCACTTTGTTTGCATTCCCCACAGATCAAGGTCACAGCGTTTTAAAAACCAGCGGAAGGGCAGGCGAATGTGCAATACGATCTTGGTCAACAAGCAGAAATTACGCATACAAATACATTCCTACACTCTTATCGAATGTAACATGCACGTATGCAGATAAACAATCTCACACCACACACACTACACGCACTAAATTAGAAAACTTTTCCTGTTAGTACACTGAATTCTATATGAAATTGTGTCTATCTGAATAAGTTACAGTACTACACTACACAAGTTAGTTTAATCTAATATCAGTACGGTTGCCTGTGTGTTTTGTCTGTGTTTTCAGTGGAACGTTTGGAATGTGCGCCTATACACACACAAACACAAACACACCCCTTATCACTTCTAATCATATGTTTCTGGCCAACGGCTGCTGGTCAGATGAGGCCAGCACATATATCACTTGTTGCAAGCTGTTGTCAGCACATTTATTGACCATATCAGATGTGAAATCAGCATGACAATATTGTGTAAAGGAGCTCTTTGATTTTTTACGTTTTCAAACTACAAAAAGAGTATAAATCAAGCCTTTTTGTCAAAGTTTAAAACTGACGCTTTGAATACTCACTTGCAGGCTTTTAGAAGAGGATCGGATGGAGGGAAAAGCTCCGCTAGTGTCGTGTAACATGGAATTGCAACAGCATTGTAGAATCCCACCTTTTGGACACAATATTACAAGAATCAGATCAGAAATGCATCACACATACATCACATTTTAATTTTCTCTGTTGTCTGGGATGTGTTTATAATAGCTTATTTATGACCAAGGACTGTTACAAGAGGTGATTGGTGGGGATTTGAATTGCTTAGGCCAGGAGTAGGCAACCCATGAGGCTCTTTGGTCCCTCTATAGTGGTTTTGACAAAAAATGAAATAAATGAATAATGGTTATTTTTGTAACATTTTGATTTATCGTTGTTGTAAAGCTAAAGTGATTCTTACATTCTCTAATTGTAAAAATCTGTAACCATTACACAGCAAATTAAACATTTTTTAACATTTCATCAACTAAAATATGTATCATATGTTACATCCTGCGATAGTGTGACCTCTTCCTCTATATTTTGCCAAACCTAAATGGCAGTGGCTGCCAGTCTTGAGTCTCTCTAGCTAGGCTAGTTGGATTTCTTAATGGAAAAGAATAAAAGTCTTGGATGAAATATTACACCATCAGAATGCAGAAATTTCAAAAGTTTTGAGTGTATGTGTGAGGTAGAGAGTTAGAAACACATGAGTAAAATCGCTGGTCATACTTGGCCTTGGGGAACCTCGTCCTTCTTGTCTCTGTCCATCATAGGGATCGGCTGCAACCCAATCTTCTTCATTTCATCTCCCTGTGGATGAACAAAATAAAAGAGAGAAGGATCCTTTTATTTTTGCATACTGTGGCAAACCTTTTCACCTCTAGACCACACTATTTTGCGCCTCACAAATTGTAGGACAGCTTGGTGTAGCAGCATTCAAAAGTACTAACAGAGGTCTGACTGTTAGACTGGAGGCACGATCATGACACTAAAACTGTTCAACTCCAGCAGTATCCCACTGTACCTCAGCCCAGAACTCAGCATAGATGTCGTTGGCTGTGAGTCGTGTGATTTGCCATTTCTTGGTAACAGAACACAGGTCACATGCTGTCATCATCAGACCAATCACACGGTCCCTGGAGGGGAGCAAAGCCTTGTTATAGCCGCGTGGAAAAATTCAATGTGCTGTTTTATATACGCCAGGTCCACATTTCTCTGTGTGATGCTATGAGATCTGGGTATGATCCCAACCTGACATGTGCACCGGTGTGAGTCGTCGTGACCTGACCTGTGTGAGTGGTTGTTGAAGTCCAGCGCTTGTGATGTCAGCAGCTCCGTCAGCTGCTGGTGGTTGTTGAAGTACAGGGCGAGGTCTGTGGCAATGATGGCCTTCCGGATGATCTCCAACACCTGCTCGTACTCGCTGGAATTCAGGTTGGAGAAAATATTGTGCCCTTCCAGCTATGAGAAACAAAGAGATCAATAAAAAAGCAAAAGCTCCACTTATGAGGCGTTCAGCTCAGCTAGACTACAACAGGTTGTAATCTCAAGTTCATCTCAGGGTTCACGCCCGGCCAGCAGATCCTAGACGTTACACAAGGGGGCACTCAGAACTAAATCATATCATCCTTTCTATGGATCTGTAATTGACAGCATGCGTGTGTATGTAAGCATAGTTTAAAAGAAATTATATATTAATTTGAGTATTTCTACTGTTACAGGATGCGTGCATGAAAAGAAAATCTACTTATAAATATGAATATTATCTGTTTCTCTTACATGAAAAAAAACAACTATTGCACAAAGTAAAAACTGCAAATTAACTTAATTCAGGCTGATTTTTATCTGGTTTTAGTCTCTTAGGATCCTCTCTGTGGTAAAAAAAGACCAAGGGTGCAAAAACTAAGGGTGGTTTACGATGTTTTTAAGTGGCCATCTGTCTTTATTTTGGGCTTTAAATTGTGACTGGCTTTCTACTGTGCTGTTGAAGTTGGTCCACACATGGTGTCATTCTTGACATGCTCCCGCTACTGTAAGTTAAATTATTTAGCATTTGGTATTTCCATTCTTTTGCCCACAGTCTGCATGTTTTTAAGCAAATCAGAGATATGCTGATATGCTTAATTAATGAAAAGGTAAAAACATAATAGAATTAAAAAGATGATAAATGAGGAAAGAAACTGAATTGTACATTAGGTGCTGCATAGTGGAGCTCTACCTGCAGGATGGAGACGGTCTGAGAGAAGTGGTGTTGTTCCATGGTGGAGGTAGAGTACAGAGCAGCCAGCGGATGGTCAAACTTCTGCAGGTATGTGTTGCTGTACCCCCGATGGTCCAGATCATGGCACAGGCAGGCTATCAACAGACCCTTCTTCTGTAAACCAGAGTGGGAAGACAGAAAAAAAAAATCACAAAAGGACCCCAAAAGCTAATCTAGCTTTGTTATGTTTTATTTTTCTCTAGAATCAGTGAAACCCAGACCCAATAAGGAGCAAACCTCTAGCTCTGTGAACTTCTCAGGGGTTTTCTGCAGGATGGCATACATACAGTGTGCCACCGTGACTGCATGCTTCCAGTTGTGGTAGGGCACACGTCGGTAGTTCTTCCGTACAGACATGGTAAACCGACACAGCTTCTCCAGCTCAAAACTACGCACGGAAAGACAGGATGTTTAACGATGAATCACCCCAAGCTTTGATAAAGAACTGACAATGACATTGAAGAAGAAGATTTTTACTTTATGACTTCACTTTATTCATTGTCATGGCAAAGTGACACTTTACCTGGTCTTTCCACAGGAGTTATGAACCATGTAGATAAAAACAGCAGGCCAGATCTCCTCAAAGGGATTAATGTCAAAGTGGAACCTGCAGGAGAGGGGGGTGAGGGAGATGGGAGGAGAGTCTTAAATTAGCATGTACAGCACACAGAGGGACATATGAGGGGACTCGCACAGGTCTGGACTCTGTCATCGTCACTTTCACAGACACGTGACTGTAGACCAACGACACTCAGGGTCACAGCAGAGATAGCGACCGTAGCATTGCACCTGAAAGGGCACTCACATTTCGATCTCTTTATAAATGGGTGCAGGGAGATTGAGCTGGGTAAGGGTCTTCCATTCTTCTGATGTGCAGATGCTGTGATAAGACAGTTTTTCCATTGTCACTCTGTAAATGCATTCAGAGTGCCGGATCCTGTGGTACATCTGCAGAGACACACAGGGAAATCAGAGGACAGGAATTAGTCTTTAAAATGTCGACAGTCCAACGCTATAAATACCATCTTCTGTTGAATTCTTTAAGTATCGCTGCTGGAATTTCCAAGGGTCAGACAAAGTTAAGTTATCCGCAACAGTCCTGTATCATATTTTATCTGCATGTCTCCAAAAAAGTGTCTCCACATCTGTTTTTTATCCATGTCCCCATCCCAGACAGGCAGGAATAAGACAGTCAGGTACATGCGCCAAGCCTCACACCTTCCACCATAAATCACCATAAATCAGGAGCTGGGCCTAAGTGAGTTTCCTAGAGACGTGAGGCATAAATTACAGCTAAACATAAATCCTGTCAGTGGACGGATGCAGACTGCTTGTCTTAAAATATTAACATGCCTCATCAATTTTAAAACCTACTTTGTGACGCTGCTCCTGCGTAAGTTTGTCGCACGAGATGATGGTGAGTCAGGCCCCACAGAGAGGAGAGGCTCTGACTGACAGACCACACAACGCAAGCTTCCAGAGTTAGCATGATTCATGAAACGCTTGTGTGTTCCATGTAAGGGATAATCATCATTGGCAAAAAGAAAAAAAAGGTTTTATTCATATTTTGGAGCAGAGCACACTTTAAATAGAAGCAGTTGGCACTATCTTTGTCAACCTTGGAGGAAAAATGAAATTACTACTCTGTCAAATAGGGAGACCCGCAGCCTAGTAACAGCTGCAACAAGCCTTCAAGCTATAAGTATGAATATAGGACGCGGATGAGGCCACTACGTCAAAGGTGCAGTTATCTGAAAATAAGCCAATCAGGATCATGTATTCGTGGCCATGAAGTGTTATATAATCTTCACGTCATCTACCTACACTGCAAAAGATAAAGAGCAGGCTTGTGCAGACAGATGTAAAGAGAATGGATTATGTTTTTTGCAGTCAGAGAAGTTGTTTAAATATTTTAAGACTAATTCAGTTTACTCACATTTGCACAGTGTAAGGCCAGAGCACAAAAGACAGCAAACATCTTAAAGTTGTTCTCATCTGTTTTAGTGAAGGCACTTCCGCTTAGCTTGTTCACCATCTGCACCACACCTATAACGGTCCCCCTGCTCACGATGGGCATGCACAGGATGTTCCGTGTGGTGTAGCCGGTTTTAAGGTCCACCTCTCTGTTAAGAAAGATATACAAAAATATGAAACATCAGTTTGACATTCAGCCCAGTGTTTATGTAAGTTCATAATGTGAACCACACATAACAAACACAGCATGCTTAAGTCTTAACTTTTGCTGTACAAGGAAGGCCTCTATAATGACTACAGTGTTTTAAAGTCAACTTGAAGAAAGTTCAATAGTTTGTTGATAATCATATATAATGGAAAAGGTAAGTAAAAAAAGCTTATTGCAGGATCTTTTTGTATACCGGTTAAACCGTGGGTCTGCATAGGCATCTGGGATATTTAAGACTTCCCCTGTCCGAGCCACTTGGCCAGCTATTCCCTTGTCTATAGAAAACCTACAGGGAGAGAAGAGAGGACAAGAGTTAGGTCTGTGCTGGGTAAATCAATAATATGAAAATACATGCAAAAACCTGATTTCATAAATGCAATTTACAGCACGAATAGCCAATAAAACCATTTTTACATGGAAAAATTATAGCAGGTGATTTGAATTTTCCCCCAGTTCTTCTAATAATTAAAATTTTATTGGAAGCATGTCACAAGATGACCATGTTTACTGTACACTATGGTGAATAATGTCTTTTATGTGCAGAAAACACACTTTTGGATGTGTGGAGACAAAAAACCCAACTGTTCTACTTCAAAATAAACTAGTATTTTTCTATTAAAATCTGTATAAACTGAAAAGAATTTCAATCTTATATCAATATATATACCAATAATATATATAATATAATATAATATATAATAATATATCAAACAACAACACAGACCATATCAAAATTAAATGAGGTCTTTATTCAGGACACTGGAAGAGAAAAGTGTAAATCTTACACACCTAATTTCTTTGGTTTTCCTAAAGACAGGTTTGCCTTCTTTCTCTTCCCCAATATCGAACAGGTCAGAGTACAGTTCTTTGTTGTTGTGATCTACCTGGAAGAGTGCACACCTGTCCGCATTCACCAGGTTTTTTGCATATATCTGCAAAAAAACAACAGGGACAGAACTTTATCAGCAACATTGAGGGTTCGGAAGATCGTAAAAAACATTGAAAATGAAGCCTAGCACCTGCAACTTAGTGAAATCAGATACATCGCTGCAGTTTAAATAGTTTCTTTTGAATGGAACAGTTAAATGTAGATAATTAAAAACACACACAGTATAACTACAGGTCATTCCAGTTCATTTCAGTGTTTGAACCAGATGACTTGAATGACCTGAGATGACACCACAGTCACAAGGCAACAAAATACATACAAACAGAGAGGTGGGTCTTAGTAAAAGAAACATGAAAATCATGTTTTACACTCATCAGTTTTAGATTTGCAGAGTAGAACAAATATTGCAAGCTGACAAAGTTGCCTATTTCTAAGTCTAAACATGTATTTAGTATGTCTAAGTATCTATTATGACAAATTACAATAATTATTATGATAAGCAGTATTACTATTATAATTACTATATATTATTAATGCCAACAGGCATGTGCTATCAGGAAACATTAGCAGTGCCCCTCTGGTATCAAGATGGCCTGTGTGTATCTGTATTACAGCAGCATTATTACTCTTTTTAACACACATAACCTAACACACACTCCCAGGATGTGTAGCCTTGAAGACAATGTGAATGAACACATACTTGCAGAAATCACACTCACCATAATATGTTCAAGTAGAGAATCTATTGCCACAATGTTATCAAAGTATGTTCTGTGCGAAAAGAAGAAATGGCGCATTGAGATGTTTGACAAATGGAAAGCTCTGATGACGTTCACATTCAAGACATGAAAGCTACATTGCCCAAGTAATTTATTCTATTGTGTGAGCACAAGTTTTATTTAACCTTTGACCTGACATGAGAAAAGATGAGACACTATCTCACTTTAGAGCCCATATCGTACTTGTGTTACACTTAGACTAAAATAAGAACATGGTGTACATACACTTTTAATACGTTAATATTTAAATATTCTAGGCAAACTATCCCAACAGCAGCTCTTACTTTGACACATCTAGTAGGAAGTCATTGAGCTCAGTCTGTTTGGCGAGGCCTCTGCACACCTAGAAACAAAGAAAAATAGGTCATGACCTGTAACTCAGACATATCACACGTTTCTCACAGGACACATACAGCATTCTGCGTTTGCTGTAAACAAACCAACTTGCTGTCTACACACTTGGCTGTGGGCCACCTTCATGAGTTCCAGTAACAACAGAGTGTTTTGCAGCGAGCAGCTAACCCAGGAGTGCTGCAGTGCTGTACTGTTCGCCGAGGCTCACAGGTCCATTGTGGCCGACGCTGCAGTGGGACGCTGCTTCTCTGAGGTGTTATGCTATCTGTTCGAATAAAAACAGCACTGGGGCGTAATGACGTCCTTGGGGAGCTGTTTGTTGAATCTATGGCTTAGTTGATTGGACTGGGCCCAGTGACAACCCAGTTCCTGTACACAGTGGATTTCCCCATTAAAAACACCAGTGCAGAACCAGAACAAACAAAGTCATCCAAGATCATAATAAGTGGGACAGGTAGGCTTCACCTTGTTCCCAGACAAGTCTTTAGTGAAGTGTTACAGTATATCAGCTGTGTGCAATGTGCAATTTCATATTCAAGCCAATCCTCTGTGGACATTTGCTCACCTGTACTTGATGAATGGCAACTGAAGCCCATGCTAAATTAGCTGTTGCAACCTGGAAAAAGAAAGTGAAGCTTAGCTCCAAAGAAATGCAGCAAAAAAATAATCACATTCACACGTTTTCAATGTTTAATCAGTTCTTATCACATTTCCTCTTTTGTGTTTTTCAACATAATCTGTTCTGCACGTCTCATAATCACAGAAGAGCCAGTAAGCCTACATATTCAAAGTCAATCTGGGGACACAGACTCACACCTGTAACACTGCCAAGTCGGCACGTTTAGTATTGTGGATTAAAAGATGGGTAATGCAAAATTAAAGCTGTGCTAATAGATATTTTTTATATGAAAAAGTATAATATGAAAGGGGTCACTCATAGTGACAAACACACATCATTTTCATGTGACTCTGCAATTCCCCTCAGCCCTACAGAGCATTTTAGCGTCTTTCAGCTAATTGTTTTGGTTTTACAGCCTGCAATTTTAATGTTTTGGATCACTCTCATCGACCTCTTTTCCTGCAGCAATAACTGCTTTGATGAACACACTTCAAGCTACCTGCTCAGGATTTAGTATGGACCAAAGCAGTGCTAAAAGTAGACTGAAACTATTGGACTAGTCAGTTGGTAACAAGACTTCAAATTTATGCTACTGTTGCTGTGTGTCCGGTGGATGTGTAAATAACTGTTTGCAAATACGTTCTTCTGCTTCCAAGTTTCCAAAACAATCAATTTGACGCAGGTTTGAATAACATAAAAAAACACAAACAATGTGTTATACCTACTGTACTCCTTTTAGAAATATTATATATTTTATACCAAAAATGTTAAAAATGTTTGATGTTAAAAAATGATTTCCTCATTATGTAATTTTGAATATTCTGTCAAGAAATTGTTTGTTTATGGAACGCTGACATGACTGTACTTGCTTGAGAAACCTGTATGTTTTGCACAGCAATTTACAGGACTTTACAACACTAAAATACAGTGTTATTAAGTGTTTTCTACAATGAACTGAACCCGACAAGGCTAATAGAGCTCTTAAACAGATCCAGATTAAGGTGAATACCAGGCTAACTGTAGTTCTGTGAGCCTTGCTCCAGCATCCCACTCTTGGTGTGTTTTTTCTGGGTCAGACTGACCTCCTGGTGGCTGAGGTTGAAGGGCTCCTTGCCCCAGTGCCGATGCAGCTCCAGGATGGCAATGAGGTCCCCGATGGCAGTGAGGATGGGGAGGCACAGGACAGAGTGAACATGGATCCCTGAGTCCTGCCCTGTGCCGTCGGGGAAGCGTTCGTCCTGCAACACACAGGTCGTTATCACCAGAGATCAACAGAGGAGGTCAGTGTAGCTGGTACATCCACTGATACGACAGAAGAAAGACTGATTTTTTTTTGTCCTTTTTGAGACTTCGTAGGTGCTCACCACAGATCACTTTTGCTGGAGCACTCTAAGAGCTTTTTCCAGCCTTTTCTTGGATATCTCCTGTTCACAGTGTGAAGTGTGAATTAGGACACTGGGCCTTTAATAGGAAAAATCCCCTATCATTTATTTATTAACCACCAGAGGTGGGAACAAGTCATTGTTTTGAAGTCACAAGTAAGTCTTAAGGCTTTGTACTTAAGTCCAAAGTCAAGACTGACTGATTCAGGTCCTATACTTTGCCTTAAACTTTGTCCTAAAGTCATAACGCACTGTGTATTGTCTTTTGAACAAAGGAATGAACTAAACAAAATGATCTTTGAGTCCACACCTCCAGTAGGCACTGTAGTGTGCAAGTGTAGAGCACTGCAAAACATGCAGAACTAAACAGGAATCCCCCCTGTTGTAATTCAAAGTGTTTTTTTAGTTATTTTTAGCTTGACAGAGATGAGTACATTAAAGCAGGTGATTTAATCAAACATATATAGAGGGCTTAAAGAGATCTGTAATCAAACAGCTATGCAGTAAACTGTTAGATTCCTATGATGGGTAAATATGCACTGCTTACGAGAAAACAGCCTTACCCCCACAATGTCCTCTACTAGCAGTGTTTTGCGAGTCTTGGCAACATGAGCGGCAATGGTTGTCCCAAATGCGATGGGTCCAGAGGGGATGAGGCTTGGAGGGCCATCCTTGGCCCCCGTTGGAGTGAACAAACATAAACTCTATTGAGAAGAATAGACAAGAACAAAGAGTGAAACAGAAACGGAGAAAGAAAATGTCAACTTCATGCACAAAACTGCATTGGTGTACAAAATGTATTCAGCTAGTGTCCTCTCCACTTACATTGTTGCATTCTCCCAAGAAGTAAAGTGCAAATCCATCAGCTTTTGTTGCTGTAGAAATAAGAGACACACAGGTCACATGTGCTTTCAATACAGTTAGACAGTCCGGTAACAACTGACATTAGCTGTCAGTGTGTGTCCATGTTATATTCTCTTATATTGTCCAACCATAAATGGCAGGTATACCTGAGAGGACAAGTGTGACAAGGAGACCAGTTACAATCTAATAACAATCTATTAACAATGTCCCACATAACAATGAGGACACTCTGACCGAGGGCTTTGACTGCCATCCAGTTCATCTCATTCCCGGTCTGCCTTGCCAGTCCCATTTCACACTGATATATGGGTCATGTTATCATACAATGTGACAACAGAGAGACTGGTGGAGCGTCACTGAATACACAGATGATCAAGAGGCTAATGAGTGGTGTGGTTTGGGTGGAATGATCCTTTGGTTTGACTCTTTGACAACATGCTAATGTATTAATAAAATGCAACACAGCAGACTGTGTCAGGGTTAGAACGATAAAGTCATGGACCTGTTTCGATCTTTTTCTCCCTGGTTTTTTCACATTTATTGATACCTGGCATTAAGAAACGCTCCAAAATATGAATCAGAAAAATAGAAAATGGAATCATATCAACAAACAACCAATTCATCTAATATTTTATATTTTATATATTTAAAAAGAATGTATTGATTATATAAATGTATTGTTTGATCATGTGATTCAATTGTTTAGTTTTTTAGATATTTTAATTAGATAATTCTTTCTCCTTATGCTATGTTGGAGCAGCTTATGTAGGGTTCAGTGGGCAATTCAGTTTGTGTCAAAAAGAAGAAGTATTCTTCTTGAGTTATTTACCACAGTAAATTTTATTCCTCCTCATAAAACACATTTTCTGCAAATGGTATTTAGAATATTTAGAGTATTTGGCCTCAGTCTTGTAGGGACATGTTTACACAAACATTGTCATTATCAAGTTTCTTTTTCTCCAAATAAAAAAGTATACTGTCAAATCACTTTCGGGTTGTGGCACCAGTGTCATACAAACTGAAGCTGGGAGGATCAATATGCTGGATCATGTCTACTTTTACCTGTTTTGATGATGTTGCACAACTCATAGAGCAGGAGTTTGTTGTCTCCTCCAGTGTCCAGGCGCTGCTCCATGTAGCTGTTGAGTTCGTACACCACACCCTGCATATTTGTGTCCTGGTACTGCTGGACACAAGACACATAGAAATTGCAACTCCACAGCCTTGCCATAAACACTGAGATTGAATTTCAAAATTCAGCAAACACTACGACAAAGAAACAAACTGCACTCCGTACTGCATCCGGTCTAATGTTACTGCAGCAGCTAGCTAACTCAAATGGGAATTTCTTTTTTTTTTTTTGAATGGAAGACAATAATTTGCTGCCATTCACAAAGACATAGCCATTCACCACAACATTACCCTCCACTCCGCCATACACTCCCCTTCACTGCTGTATTCTAGCCCAGGGATCCCCCCCACAGTCCCAAGAGGAGGCCACAGGAGCCCCACAGCTCTGATTAGAGACCTGGCAAGCTCTGCTGCTCAGCCTCAGCTTAAAAGTATGGTTATGTAAGACCTCCTGTCTTGTACAGGGCCAGAGAGCTGTCTATTTCTACGCCTGTAGAGAGGGTGAGGACAGGACGGCAGGGAGAGTGGCGCACTAGAAAGCCTCCCCCATGGGACGCCTTCTATCCTCCCACATCCTGTTTGCACAGACGTATGGATGACGCACTGAGGGGTCGAGTGGCCCTCGTTTTTTCTTCTTCTGTGTGTATATGTGTGAAGTCCCTTCTACCCAGCTCCAAGGCCCTGCTGTGGGCGCTGACACATGGCCTCCTAGGGGCATCATGGCGTGAAGATCACAAAGGTGTGAACATGTATGTGAAACACAGGGGATCTACTCTTTCCCATAACTTTTCTGCCAACTCTCACGTATGTGCAGCAAAACGTTCATGTTGTTTCTTATTATTCTTGATAATTACCCATTTGAAGTTGACCTGAGCACCCACAGAGCCTGGCTTTTTCTGGACAACTCCAGAGTTAACATCAAAAGCATCTCTACTGTGCCGCAAAGAGTGCACGGGTATGAATTTGCACGATTTCATGCCTTTATTCATGTTTTTCAAGTCAATGAGAAAAATTCACACCGACACTGTTCTAAAGAGAGTAAGTACAAGGACAAACAAAACTGTTGTCAAAGAGTACTGTTAATATGCATCTTAATTAAGTACACCAGGCCATTTTTTGCAGTTATTGAAGGACAGTATTGAGTTCTGTGTTGTCCTTGAATTAATTCAGCCATAGTTTCCAATGTTGAGTAAAGTAAGTCACTAAGGTTAGCTTTGGGAATTAAAATAATAAAAAACAACATGTGAAGGTATATTAAGGAAAGCTTCATGTGCATTGTCAGATAAATATGTATACAAAAAAACCTACCCTGCTGACTTCTTTAGCTGATGTGTCATCTGTAAGGAGAAAAATCTTAATGTTAGAATGAATCTTGAACACATGCTGGATTTTATTTTTTTGGATCAGATTTGATATTCTTAATCAGTGGATGAGACATGAAGAATCAGGGTGGTTATGGCCACCACAGTTTCTCCTGCACACTTCACAGCCCGTTCTTATTCCCAGGTTGTCAAAAACAGGCAAATAGCAGTGTTCAGTTAGTTGCAATCTGCAACTAATGTTAGATGCAATTACATCCTACAAACTGATCCTTTAATTAATACTGGTTAGGAAAGAGGATATGATATAAGCACTGTTTGTGTTAATAAGCTGATGAATCAATTAGGGAAGGAAGTGAGTTGATGCTAAACTCTCTCCCTGCCAATGTGCCGCTGAGCTAAGTACCACATTCACCACCTGTGTAAACTCTATGCAAAGGCAATCATTGCTGAAAAAGAACAAACATGCACAATCAACTTTGTCTGCATTAAAAAAAAGGCAACAGGGTGAGCCACACAGAAATCTGGCCTGGCTGTTTGAAAGTTGGGTGGATACTCTGCAGTGGATTCGTGCACCAATGGATTACAGACGCACAACACCACAAAGCAGCAAATAAGCTCCTCACAACAGTAGTCAGGTGAATGGTAAATGAGCAAATGCAAAAAATATGCAGTACTCAAGGCATTAATACACATTATGTATAAATTATGGGCGAATACATCATCTACTTTTGATGCAGGGAGGCATTTGCTTAAATTATGTTCCTTTTAAAACAGAATTAAGAGAAGTATTAATTTAACTTGACAAGTGCAAAATTTTGTGGCCTCAAGTGCAAATTCCTGGTGTGATTTCAGGCTATTGGAGAGACAGTAGACATATGACTATTGTCTTTGGACATAGACACTGAAGTATGTGATAATAATGAAAGCTTCAGCCAATCATAACAGTTTCTGGACTTATAGTCTGGGAGCGGGTCTGGGAGCGGTACTTGGGATGAAAATAAAACCATTCACACAGCTCAAGCGGTTCTTCATTACACATGCGTCAACAGCACACGAGAACAGTAACCGCTCAGATCTCTCTGGTAACTTTTCATGTGATCAGATCAGGCCATGCACAAGGCTGGGCATATTTTAGAAACATCTACTGAAGTGCTGACTCGAGCTGGTCCTCTTTTGAAACAAAGCTCTTTGTACATGTGAAGAAAGAAATTACAGCCAGCTACATTGTTTGTTGTTTTAAACATTCTCCCAGTATGCTATGAGTTTCCTAACTTAGCCATGAGAGCTATTTTAGAGTGAACCCCTGGCCGGGCATGACGTCAATCAGAGGACAGAGAGCTGCACTTGAAAAAAACTTCAAACCCTTTTGAAAAAAGGAAAAATACACACAGAATCTTTTTTATGATGACTTGTTGAGGCCAAGAATATTCTTACCTGAAGCCCTTTGAAGGACAAATTTTCACAAATACAGCAGGATACCTTGTCTGTATACTACGAGGGAACGGCTTAACACCACCTATTTTAACTCGAACGCTGTGATAGAGTCATTGATTGATTACTGGAGAATTCTATTAAAAATGAGAGAAATCCATCTACTAATACCCTTAATTCAATACATAAATATGACTAACAGACAAATTACATTTTAATTCACTTTACTGCATGACAGGTTTTATTTGCTTACATTTGATTGATTAATTTGATATGTACACAGAATGATGTAATGTGCTATATGATGTGGACATGGTGTAGTATGTACAGTATAATGCTGAATGATATGTGTGTCTGTGAACAGTGCTTGAGATAGAGGGCTGTGTGAATAAACCTGATTTAACTCTAAAGATACCAGGAAATATAATACTCATGCCTTAATTGGATTGTCACAGTACTCCAGACTATTTAATTTCCAGTATGCAGTATATACAGTGCCTCAGTGTCTGTGGTGTTAATAGCAAAAAGCAAAATGTGCCTGGGTAACAAGCTATGAGCGGCATTGAAAGATTTGGTTTTCTGCTCCATGATGACCTGAACTTACAGCTCTCAGCACCCCCACCTCTCTCTCTCTCCTCTCGCCCCTAGGAGTAAGCACTCACTGGTAAGGGGGGAGGGAGGATAGGTCAGGACTGACAGTCCAAAACCAAATGAAGGGAGACAGAAACCTAAACACCCTGGTCAACAGGTGACACAGCAGCAGAAATGGCAAGAACTAAAATATACCATTACTGCACGATGAATGATACTAGAAGTTAGCTCTTGGGCCTTTATGGGTGCAGACTTCTTTTGACATGATGTAGCATGGTCAGAAAGTTTTCACCTCATTTTTGTGAGATGGTGCAGTGGCAATGACTCCAGCGACACTAATATACTAGCAAAATAATATTGTGATGATTTGATCATATAATGTTATCTTGTTATAAAGGTCTGTTGTGCAAATTAATGATTCTACAAAAATGCTAATTTAATACTAACAAAATCCGTCAGTTAAGTTCTGGTTTTACAAAAAAAAGGCTCTTGTTGGTTTGTTTTAATGTTATTTTATAAATCATATATATTAGACAAATATTATTATTAATATTTAAATCATATGGCTCAGTCCTACATCATCAGTCTTCCCATTCCCAGACGTATATCCCCCCAGTACTTAAAGTCTCTCCTGGAGGAAATGTTCACCAGGCACTGTTTATGCTGTTGCAGGTCCAATTACACTCTGGCAAACCATCTCTGCCGGCATCTCATGTGTAGCAGTCCCAGTGGAACCACCGGGTGAGCGCTGTGTCCACACACTGAAAATGTCTAAGGGGCCAAAACGTAACAGGAAGTTGTAGTACTTCCAGGCTATATACTAAGATACAAAAGCAAGTGGCCTTTAAGTCTCTTGTGCTGAACCTGTTGCTTGGTTGGAACCAGGTCCAGCAGTAAGCATGCAGGGTCATGCACACTCCAGCATCATATTCCTGGTTTTCCTAGAAACCAGAAAATAGCGAGAAAATATACTGTTTTGTATGTTTGGCTACGTTCGTTTCCTGAAGAAAATATAACATTTTGCAACAATAACATCTTTGTTTCATCAGGTATGAGTCTGGGGATTAATCCTAAGGATACAGGCACTCCTGGGGCAGAGGGGGAAGGTATGTATACAGGTGTGTGTATGTGTGTGTGTGTGTGTGTTTCATCACCATATGACGTGATCAGCCATCAGCACACAGACAGAGACCAGTAGCCTGTTATAATGCCATCCCATATTTTCATGGACACTGCTGTGCTTTTAGTAAACACAGGAGGAGAGGGCTGACATGTTCTTAGAAAATATACTGCCAGCTCACTAAGCAGTGAACACTAAACACAACTGTCTAGCAACTCCTGAAACCAGCAGAGGCTAAACAGACCTTGTCTAGTAACTTCATTGCTCCATTCAAACTTTTCCTGAACCAGAACAACCTCAGTGAAAATGTTTGTCAGGTGTGCAGCACTGGGATATACAGCTATAAAGCTGGCAGGTATTAGTTTGGGCTATGTGTTACACTGCCTTGTAAACCAGTGCTTAGTGGGTAAGGCGCCTTTGAAGATTTTGTTTATAAGGTCAACAAATACAGCACTGTATGTCCTGATTCTGTTTATTGACTACAATCCTACATAAAATCCTAAGAGTAACAACTTTAACATATTTTTCAAATAGAATGAGAGGGCTGCATGCTTATTCTAATTAATCATACATCATAATTTGATGTTTTTGTGCATACTATTAGTGTATTTATAATCTGTATTAAAACTTATATTTTTAGTTTCACAAAAACTCCTGTTTTGGTACATTAGTTGTTCTCATTTTGCACCAGTGCTGAGGTGTAATTTCCACTGTGGACGGGGGGAAAATCCTGTTTCTGTTATAATTTATGGCTTAAATAATACTGAGACTGTAAGACTTCTTATGTATATTTAGTACTATTATGGCTATTACTATTATGCATGTGTGTTTAACTTTCAACTTTTGTGTTTATTACCATTGTCCCTAAATGTATGTAGAAATGCACAAAAAAAAATAATTCTCAGACAGCTCCGTTTTATTGAGCTGCCCTCCACTTCTCAAACCAAAGTTACACCCTTGCACTGGTGTAACAGTTCAGACAGAGGAGCTATGGCTGGAAAGAGGAAACCCTCACACAGACAATTTCTGGAAAAACAGAACAAACAGCAAAGTTAAAGTAAATGGACCAGCGTGACGTCAGACAGGACAAACCCTCTCCTGCGTCTGGATGTAACATTTTATTTTAGTTCCAACACCACAATAATAACAGCAAGAGGGTAAAAGCCTTTTGACACCACACAAGAATATCAGTGCAAATGATTTGCACATATTGATTTTATGGTGTGTAATGAAAGCTCTTGCATCAGTGTGGGATATCTGTGTAGCAGACCAAAAAAACACAGCTACCCTCAATCAGTTGCTGTGGTTTTCTGAATGGATTCAACCAATAAAATCATCAGATTCTGCAACAAGGAGTCACGCAAACACACAAATGCAGACACAGATTGTTTTTGACAAAGGAGAATTCTTAATAAATCTTTTGAACATATTGATACTCTGTCATCTTTTATCAGAGGTCTGACATGTTGTTGTTACTGTGATGTGCTTTGTACAGCAGATAAACAGATCTACTAATGTTATTTTGCTAAATACAAGATAATTTGACCAGCCAATTTCATAAATACTACACAGAAAATATAAATATAATATAATAAAAAATATTTAAGTACTTAAGTGCAATATATAGATACATAAATAAAGAAATAATAATAATAATAATAATAATAATAATAATAATAAAGAGGGATGTCTGACTTTACCCTGTACCTTTATCAAAGTACATACACACTGACGCACAAAGCCTGTAGCTCACACAGAAGCACAAAGGTCTCTGGTGAACTGATGGTGATAAATAATTTGAAGAAGCACCCAACATATCAACGGCCCAGGGCTGAGGCTTTTCACTAGGGGGAAAAAATCCCCCAGTCAGCTGGGTCTAATGTGCGCGATACTTGATGGGTGCTTTATTGATTTGCCGCCACAGACACACAAACACAGACACACAAACACACACAAATACAAACACACACACACACGAAGGACGGTCAGCTTGAAGTGACTCAGCAGTCAACATGTGTCGACCCAGTGCTGCATCAACCTGCTTCATGGAGGACGTGCAGCTCCCTGTTTACCTCTAGTCCACTTGTTTTTTCACTGTTTATGTTTATTTGGGTGCTCCTTAAATAGAGGTATCAATGAGACTTCCTGTTTCAAAAAAGGATTATCTATCTGTAAGGTCATTGTAAATATATTTTTCTGGCATTACTCTAGAAAATACTTTGTGAGAACAAAAACTTTTTGTTTGGCATGTACTTTTAATTTGCATACAGACAACATTAGCAAATCTAAAATGTTTTTTTTTAATCCAGCATCCACTGCGTGCTGCATAAGGGGGGACCTCCTCCTCCCTCCTGATGGAAAGCCCTGCAGGTGAGACAGTGCTCTTATCACAGTGGCGGGGTATGAGGTTCTGCTACACAAGCACATCTTTGTCTGCTTGCGACTGCCGTCCAAACACATCTGAGAAACAGTATCAGCTGCTCAACAGCTCGGCCCAACTCTTGCCCTCTGGAGCCCAGGCAAGAGAGGCTGGAGACTCACCCAGACTTATTCCACAGAGTTCTCCATTACTAATCAGACAGGCAGATCGACATGTCATGGATATTCAACTTTGTGAATGATTGTGTCTTCAGTTTGCAGCCTCTCAGATGTGAGTGTGTGCTACTTTCAGATAATTAAAACATGCATATCTTAAGGATTTCAGCTGCTGTTTGGACAAAACAAGAAATCTTAAACTGTGACATTTTTTTCACAGATTATATTGTATCTGATTTACTCTTCCTTGTTCACAGATTTATGGAACGAGAAACTATGTGATAAAAATATCGAAAACCTGTACATCCGCAAAGAAACTATAAACATACAAAGAAAGTTTCACTGTACACTAAGATGGTATCAGTACATATTGTAGTAGTGCAGACTTTATCCAGCCTTCATCCTCAACTCTGTTTCGTATCAGCAGAAATTTTAAAACGCCTTGGACAATCGGACAAACAGCCACAGCTGTAACATACAGTATATACACTGTGTGTGTGTGTGTGTGAGCATTGCAGAAGGCACAGATGATTAGCGAGGGGCCTCTGGATGGAAGCAGCAGAGGGTTTGGGACTTATTAATTACCCCATGACAGCGTCTGGTGTGAAGTAAACATTGCCAGTGGGACAGTGGTCTAGAGAGGTGTGATGGTCAAATGACGTCGGCAGGGATTCTGGGAAACTGTGTTTTGCTCACAGTGTTCAGTAAGAGGCTGCTGTAAGATTGATCTGCTCGGTAACACTGTTATGACACACCAACATCTGCCTTGAAAGCTAATCTTTATACATAAATAGAACAATGAAGCAATAAAGTAATAAACAAGAGAACAATAGAAGAAATGTATAATTCTGTTATTATGACAGGGCACATTTGTAATATTACCACACAAGAGATTCAACACAGAAGCAAGTGTGCAAATGTGAAGGCTTTTTCTGGAGCTACAGCCTGTAACACAACCTTTGTACAAACACATCCTCACACACTTGCGTGTATGTGTACAGACAAACTGATTTATGTTATCCAATGTAGCACATCACATGATAGCTGAGAACGGGACTGGCTGCAGGGACTGCTTCCAGGAAGCAGTGGTTATCTCAGTGACGATCACATGGGGACAGGTCCTGCTGCTGCTGCACTCACAAAGACTATAAGATCAATCTGATCTCTAAAAAATATCACTGCAAAAATGGACAAAAAAATACATCTTAAGAAAAAAAAAAATTGGGTTCTTTTAGTAGCCCAGCTTAAAATAAGTCAGATCCCAGCCATCATCCCAACACAGTGACCATTCAGCCTGTGTGATGAACCAGAAATTAGACAGTGCTTGTCATCTGAGTGGATACAGCCACTGAGAGGGAGACGCAGAGAGGCTTCAGAGTGGTGCCTAAGTGTCTGCTCACAGTGGTCTAACGGAGGAAGTGGACTTAGAGTGATATTACTGATGTGATGTAAAGATCAACCCGGAGAGAGACATGTGGCATAATGAGAGAGCTGATTACCGATGTTTTCTCACACAGCTCAAGAGCCCACCACAGGCTAGTGGCTGAAATGTTGTTCAATACCTGCATTTTGTTAAGTATTCTTACAACTTGATTGAGATCAACTCAGCGAGCCCAGTGCGAGTAATCAAGGCAGAATACATAAAACTGCATGGTGAAAATATCCAACATAAAGTTAACATTGGGTTGAGAAAGGAAATGCATTTAACACGTTAGATGACGTCTGACTTATAACGACATTTTATTTAAAAAAAGTCAAAATCAAAATCAATTCAGCGATATTTTCTGTTTTTTTTATTGCACATATTCTGCTTCCCTTGTCAAAGCCTGGTGCCTGCGTTACTCATGATGCAACTAAACCACCAACAGTTTGGGTATGTTATGCTAGTAGTAGTTAACGGGCTGCAGAGGTCCACACCCCCAGATTTTTTACATCTTTAAACTTATAGTCTTCAGACTCAACCGACGCTGACTCAAATGACATTACTTGAGATAATCTATCAGACTTCACACAACTCCCTCTGAAGCCACAAAAGGCTTTGAACAACTTGTTTCACACATGCAGACCCAACAGACCTGTATTCAGACTGTGAATGAGTAAAATCAGAGTTCTACTTTGAGTTGGCACTAACTGCATTAAAACAAATGTACAATAAAGCTTTAATATTACCCAGTTAAATCATAACCAGCAGAGAGTAAAGAGACTTTTCACCAAAACATTTACTTCAGCATTTTTAACAGTGCAGATCGCAAAATCCATTTCCAAATAAAAGTTGGCCACAAGAACAAAAAACAAATCTAACAGAATTAAAATCCATGAAATAGAGGCACCCTGGTGGCTCCTATCTCTCTCTCCCCTCATCTTATGCTATGTTAATAATTAAAATAAGGAATGTTTGTTAAGAAAATCCAAGAAATATCTACCGTATGTTGTTCTATGTTACATATTAGGATTATGGGATTACATTTCAGATGTTTTGTATCTATCACTAAATTCATGGCAAACCAAGTTTTTGCCATCATATAGTGAGAAACATAGACTTGTACTTCACTGAGGATCTTTGTCATCCTCAATCAAACTATTTTCCAGAAGTTGATGCCAGTTTACAACACTGATGTAAACTATTTTTATTTATTGAATACACATCACTAATATTTTTTTAATCAACATTTTCTTTTTAATCATGTGTACCCCCTGCAGTACTCCAAAGCTCTCCTTGGGATATGCATACCCCCATTTGAGAAACAGAGTAGCATATTTCATATCAACATATGACCTTTATTTATCTGTAAGTGATGGTACTTAATGAGAACTGAGAAAGCCCAGCTGCATACCTCAGCTGGGCAAATTTGGAAAAGTCTGTTTACAGCTAGATGTACAAGTGGTGTAGCTGTTCATTTCAACATGGCAAAAGCTGCAGTATGTCCCTTTATTCTTCTTCTCATATTGTTGACTGGCTTAAACTGGGAATTACTCTTATGTCAGTTCCATAACTTGATGTTGCTAATGTATATTGTGCTGTTTCCTGTCAGTCTGAAATGAGTATACGTAATTTGTAGCAAACAAATTAATTCTTTAAATTACTGAGTCAGAAACCATGGGAAAACTGGGGGCATTCATGTTTGAGTTTCATGACTTGTGTGGGAACTGAAAACTGATGAAAGTTGCAGAAACATAAGCAGGAAGTTTTTCGCCTTTCTGTTTCAGTTTTGTGAATCAGGCTTCATCTGCTGTCATCTGAACTACATGAGTGAAATTAGTTATTCCTACTTGGTGCCAGCAAGAATGATTAACATGTGGGCCTCTATTTGGTGCCTGTCAACCTAAACACACGTATGTAGACACACATATATACTGTATACAGGAAACGTCTCTGCATGGCAGCAATGAACACCGCTGTCTGTAGACCTCATGTAGAAAGCAGCTCCAAAATGTGACAAATCCATCCTCTGCCAGTTTCCCCCTTCACTTCAACACACCCACACCCTGAGCCAGCAACAACCCCCCTACCACCATCCCCACCACCCTCCCTACCCCTCCCCTGGGCCCCCTTCTGCCGGCTGCATGTCTCTGGAGGTCGCCTCTGACGTCAGCAGCTTGGCTGGGCAGAGTGCCAGCCCTGTGGGCCCTTGATGGATGCGGTTGGTCTGAGAAACAGTCCGCTGTGTGTGGAGCGCACGGCACAGACTCAACTCGGCCCGCTCAAACACATCTAATGACCCGTAAACACCCGACAGGCCCGTTCCCTCTCCCCTTCTTCTGTCTATCACACACACTGACGATTAAAGGAGACACATGTGAAGATGAGTGATTTGTACTGCAAATGATCGGGATAATAAATACAACCCACAGAGGCACGCTCTGCCTCGGCTCTGGTTATCCTTTGGTCTTTAAAAAAAAAAGGTTTTAGTTTTTCAGTGCAATAAAAGCCAACGACTGACACGGCTACAGATATTCAGGGCAGCCTGTATTTGTGGTTGACTAGTCAGGAACTCATAAGGGATTATGTGAGCTAAAAAGTACAAACATTTAACCAAAGCAAAATATTACTTAAATTATAACTCTGCGTCAATATACTGAAATCCGCTGATCCGATCATTATGTCACAGAGATCCAGAGAGCTGCTGCGTGTGTGTGTGTGTGTGCATGTTTCCATGTTTGTTCCCTGTGTGTGTGTGTGTGTGTGTGTGTGTGTGTGTGTGTGTGTGTGTGTGTGTGTGTCTGTGTGTGTGTGTGTGTGTGTGTGGGTATACCTGCAGGCCTGCTGCTGGTCTTCCTCTTCAGCCATCTGTCCAACGTCTCTGCACTCACGCTCTCCAACACAAAGTCGTCCAGCATCTGCGGGTGCAGCGAGAGGTAGGCCTTCACTTTCTCATCTGTCAAGCCTGAAGAGCACAGAATTAAAATGTGTTTTAGATCATGCACTACACAATTTTATTTATGACTAAGCAAGGTGAAAAAAAAAAAAAAAAAAAAAATCTGGGAGATGTTGCACAAAATCATGCAAATGCTGGAAAAGTATGGAGGAGAGAAACACAGGATATAAGAGGATGGAAATAATGTCATATAACATAGCTGCCAAAGGTGCAGAGTGTTCCCGACAGTCACCCAAACAAATGCACAAGCTTGAAACAGCCGAAGGTCATCTCTTTTTCTTTACTGTGAGGTGAGAGGGCCAGCAGCAGCGCCTAGGTACCAGCTAAAGCTCTCAGATAGCCAGGCTAGCTCACTTATGTTTACTGTAAAGCTGTGTCTCCAGGGATAGGAGCCCCCAACAGAGGCAGCAGGATAAAGGAGGACTCGATTGTGCTTAATAGGCAATTAGGTTCTTGAGAGCTCGCTAAGTGCTGCTGTTTACTGTCTTTGTTGTCAGGGAAAAAAGCCATTTGCCAGACCATCGTTGAGGGAAAGTTGTTTTTAATACACCCGCTGGCGTCTGAGAGGCCGTCATGATGCACTAGGAAACCATCATGTTTAGGTCACTCACGCAAATGGAGTGTGTGTCTTAAAACAAAGACTTGTAACTGTCTAAATCCAGCCGTGAGACGTCATCTCATCATGGGACTGTGAACTCAACGCTGAAATGAAATACAATCAAAAGCAATCCTTACTAAAAAAGACAGACAAATCCTATGGCGGTGCTAAATTTACATTTTATGGTACGGCACACTGTAATTGTATCTTTTATCAGATAGTAGTAGAAAGAGGGACATTGTATTCAGACAGCCCTGATCGTTTTTTTATACCACTTTCTCACGAAATGTCTGGTTATCAGCAGCATCTGTGTAGACTCCCTTCAAGTATGAATCACAGGAGAACATGCAGCTGGAAGGCATGTGTTCTGCCGTCAGACACACAAACATACATAAGCACTGAATGAAAATATGACAAAGTGGGGTGTCCTGAAATCCTGTATGATATCAGGGTACCGAACGGCTGCAGACGTTTGGACAGCAGCACTGTACGTGGAGGGTGGCATAAACTTGACTGTCGTGTCAGGTGACAAAATAAACCAGATGCAGGAGCTAGAAGCATCCACTTAAAACTGCAGGTATCTGTTGCATGTCTATAAAAAGTGTTTAAAACTTGCGTTTGAGGAATAACTTTTAATTTTAATTGGATTTAATTTTAGAATCAAAGCGCTCCTGACTTTGGTAAACAGTCTGAGCAGCTATCTATGACCTTTGATCTATTTCCCCAGAACAAATCATTTGATCTTCAGTTACGATGGATCATCTGCTCACTTTGTGTGTGTGTGTGTGTGTGTGTGTGTATGTGTGTGTGTGTGTGTGTGTGTGTGTGTGAGTGTGTGTGTGTGTGTGTGTGTGTGTGTGTCTGAGTGTGTGTGTGTAGGTCGACCAGGCTTGTGGTTGCAGGCAAATAAGGCAAACAGAGGTGGGGGTAAGTTTGGGGGGTGGAGGACGCTGCGGTCTGACGCTGTCCAGACACGAGACACAGATCTTCAGGAGCGGAACGCCTCACGAGACTCCTGGCCAGCTCTGACGCACATCGGCAGAATACGGCTTAATAAATCAGAGAAAGTTAAGGGGGGGTGAAGGGAGCTGCAGGGGACAGAAAGACACACAGAGAGGAGTAAAATGGGAGCGCTGCAAAAGACCCTTACGACTTTGTCCTATTTGAAACACAAAGAAGGCACTGTGATTAGTGACACTACAAAAAACGAAAAAAACAAGGTCGCTGTATCAATTTATGAATACAACTTTTGTGTCGACGGGGCTCTGAAAATTATTTAGCTATCATATGTGTGCACATGAACAAAAATAGTCAAATGTCCTATTTCCAGGAGGCAAAAACAAACTGCAGTTTGCTTGCATATAAAGGTTGACAGAATTGTGTTCTGGGTACAACCCTGTGCTTAAAATTACTGACCCACGCTAGCAACAATTGTAAAAAACCCCCAAAAACAGGAGTTTGTAAAGCTTTATTAAAGCGCAAAACATAGCTGTCTGGAACAGCCACAGTTTATTTCTGACCTCTAACTCAACCCTTAACCTTTGCTTTGGAAGAAGAAGAATGCGACATGACCAAATGTTTTTACTAACATCATAAGAGTGGGGAGCACAGTATATTTGGCAGCTAATCAGTATCAGGCCAATAGATGCTTAAAGGATAAGGCTGTCCATATACTATATATTTTTTTATTGTCAACAAGTCACATAAAAAAGACAAAAAGCAACAAGTGTGTTAGTCTGTGTCTCAATACTGAGGACATAAATATATGCTTTCATTAAAAAAAAAAAGCTAATAAATGTTGTTTTAATTTAAACTAAAACAGTTAGGCACTGTGGTTTTTATCAAACATTCAAACAGGAATTGCATTCATTAGGGACTATTTTCAGCTGCGGATGAATACACAATTTGGTGTTCTTGTGATTATTTCAGGCAGCAGGGCAGTTTCTGTGATTGATTTAAAATGATCTACAGTGACTGTGTTGATCCTAATGAAGAAATATGTCACCCAGTGCAACAGTGTGACTAAGTAATGTGTTTTTATTCGTTTGTGGACAACAGAGCTCTGTTGCACAGAGAAATAACCTACATCAGGCTTTGGCAACACAGACAACACTTGTTGGACAGTTCAATTCATTGTTGGTTCTTGTCAATTCATGGTTATTTTTTGACAACAAATATAAAACAAATATAGACTGTGAGCAGACATATCCTGCAAAACTATGTTATAACGATGTACTGATTGGAAACTTACAGAGGAGACAATGTGATATAATATTATGATGCATTAAAGAACGGCAGAGCACATGACAGGAAAGCCTTCAAGGGTCTGCTTCCTCTAAAGTAAATGTGAGATGTTTGAAAATATTAAATCAATGTTACATATTTCAAACATGAGTGCAGGCTGTTTGAAACAGATACTAATGAAGCGACATCACAGTTAGTTCAGATTAACTCCATTGGTAGCAACTACACACATTAAAATGTATTTATCTATACCAGTTTAGAAGAAGAAATCACTGGAAAAAGTCAGAAATATAAATATCGTCAATCTCTATTAAAGCACTCTGGAAAAAGTTGTCAGAGGAATGACTGGTTTGACCCAACAGCCACTATATTGCAGCATGATGGTGATTGATGGCACTTTTTTTCTGAACATTCCAGCTACTTTCTGTCGACCTTACAGACTTTCCCTCTGATTCCTTCTGAAATCTTTCGAGCCTCGGCTCAACCTAATGTGACCGCAGTGACACTCAGAGCTGTGGGATATGTGCGTCAGTGTCCTGGGCCTGTGACTACGACGGCTAATCAAAGGTGCAGCCAGATCTGTCCCACATGCTGTGGTCCAGAATGGTTAACCCCACCGGGAACCACATGTGCTCACTCAATCAGGAGAGAGAGGCGGGCTGCTGTGGTAGAAGCGATGGCTTGGTCACTGGTTTGACCAGAATTTTTTTCTTTTATTTTGTCAAACCTCAGTAAAACTTTCCTTCCTGCTGGGGCCAACATTGCTGAAGACAATGGCGTCATCAAGATAAGCACTACATGTTTTTGATTGGATGCTAATAAACACAATATATAAGTAATATTATATTATTATAATATAAGTCAAACATAAACAAATCAAAATATGCAAAACAAACTCCAAATCCTTATCATCTAACAGGTTGCCCAGCCCATGAACCAATATTCAGATCCTGCACATAAAAGTAAAAGTCTTGCATTTAGATCCTATTGAAGTTAAAGTACAGAAATATTATTAACAAAATGTATTGACTGTGACTGATACATTATTATTTATGGCATTATTAGACTGTTATTACTGATGCATAAGTGGCATTTTCCTGTTGTTGTTTAGTCCAGTGTTTCCCAACCTAGGGATCAGACCCCCTCTGAAGGTCACAAGATAAATCTCGGAGGTTGTGAGATGATTCATAGAGGAGGAAAGAAGACAAAATGAAGCATTGGTTCACAAATTTGTGTTCATAATTTAGACTTTTCTCTAATCTTGGCTGTTTTTTATGAAATGATGTGCCATGAACTTTTAAATTAAACCATCTGAGAGGTTTAGATGCTTCCTCTCGCTTTTTTTGGTTTAGTCTTTCACAATGTGTTGTATTTTACGTTTTTTTTTTAATGTAAAATCTTCATTTCCTGTCACATAATTAAGGCAGTGAGGTAAAAAGTACAAAACTTCCCTCTGAAATGAAGTGGAATAGAAGTATAACATAAATTATAAATACTAATATAAAGTAAAAGTACTTTCAAATTGTACTTAAATACGGTACTAGCGTTATTATACATAGTGACTTTCAACCTTTTTAAATGAGTCAAATGAAATCGCTCAGTCAGACAAATGTATAGGCGGGAAGCAGTTTATTATGCAGCATGTTTGTGAGTGGCTGAAGCCCAGTTGGCAGAGATTTTGGAGCCTGACTCAGACTTGGGCTTCCTGTGTAAAAACTGAAGCCTCAGTTCATGCAGTGAGGTATTGTTGCATAACACTTATCTTGAATAAGGCACACCACACCCTGGGACTGGGAAGGGAAGGCCAAACCAGTCACAGTCTGTCTGGGTCTCGCATCCAAGTCTCAGTATGAACATGCTCCTGTTTGACGGTGACTGCATTTACGACAGGGGCTGGATATCTATATGTATATGTGTCAGTAACAGTTTGTGGTGTGTGGTGCTTCAAAATAGTAAATTCTTGGGAGTTACAATTCAAGTTTATGAGCATTTTTATTAAGGAAATCAATTAGGCATGGTCTGATTTTATATGGAAAAGTAAATGGCTTGTAGAGATGCTGAAAACGAAGTAATTCACTCCATCCTATAATAAAATGTTCTTTCAATAAATAATTTTTTAATGCCTTGTATTAGTATAGCAACTCATGGAAACAATCACCAGTATTGA